AATGATGAAATAAACAAGGTGTATCAAAAAAACATTTATACAAAATGTATTTAGATTACCTGTTTGAACAAGTTCTCTCTCAAACGTCACTTTTAAATAATTCAAGTGCTTTCAGAGCAACATGTGAGCGTTCGGGGAATAACACCGGCCAGTTTTGTGAAATGTACATTTTAAAATTCAATTACGTTGGTCACTAGCTGGCAACTCCCAATTAGGCAGACATTTATGGTTCGGCTTCTCTAAAAAAAGATGATAAAAATGATTGTTTCGAAGTTTTTATTTGTTTCATTTTTCGACAAACTTTAAAAATCGCGTTAGCCAATTTATTTCACCAATAAATTACGAAACATCAATGTTTGAATTTTACCCAACTATTTGAAGTTGATGTTATTTGAATTTTTTGGTGTATCGTCTGGGGTGACATTTAATTCGTCCGGTTATACAATTTTTTTTTATTGATTTGTGGTATTTTTAAATTGAAAAATAAATTTATAAAATCACTTAAATACTAATTATAATATCTATTAAAATCCGTTACAAAAAAAGTCATTCAATAGGAGTAAAGATAGCATTTAATTTCGTTTTTGACTTTGTGCTAATGTATCAAATGTAGCGCTTCGCCCGCAAGCGACCTTGACGAAGTGAGAATAAATGCATTTTTATAAGAGTGTTGAACATTTTGTAAAAAATATATAAGGAATGATTTTGCTTCAAACCGCCGAGGTCGCTTGCGGGCGAGGCGGTAGCATCTTATAAAGTTGACAACTTCGTGTTGATATATCAAATCTACAGCCTCGCACACAAGCGACCTCGGCGGAGTGAGACTATATGTTTCCTTATAACACTGTTGATGATGTTGCCTTAAAATTGCCAAAATCCTACATAGCTGATGATTTCGTGTTGATATATCGAAATATAGTTAGGGTTTTAAGAAAAAATAGAATGACAGCGGAAAGGAAATAGTTAAAAAGTGATAATTAATTAAAATTAAGTCGCTTTATAAACATCATTTTTAGATATTTCTGTTTCCTCTTAGTATCGTAAAAATAAACTTTAGAAGCTTGTATGTTAGTAATTTTCGGAAAGCCAAGTTGGATAACTTTTAAACAAGTTGAAAAATTGAATTTCGAGACGAGTAAAAAATCGTGGAAAACTTTTAAGGGTGGGAAATTATTCGCGGTTTCTGTTTCCTGACAAAATTCAGGCCCTTTCAATTCAATTGCGCAACATTGCAAAGGAAACACAAGGACTAAATCGTTACTATGACGAGGCTCATTGTGCGACTACACGTTGTTCAGGATAAAGAAAAGGGTGAGTAGAAGTGTTCGTTAGTGGCGAGCATATCAGGGCGTATTCTACCTGGTGTGTTTTTCTTCCGTTAGCAGATAACAACCTCAATTAGTGAGGTGGATTTTGCGCTGGGTATTTTCCAAGAACTTTTTACTAAACACGAGTAATTGGTTGATTCTATCTTTTAATTGGAATTTATTGAAATAGTTAATATTAATATTGTTTTTTAAACCCTTTATTTTTTTTTATTTTATTTTACACGGCATCAACAGGTCCATGGTACATCCGCCTCAGGGTAATAATTCAAAAGCTTTAAAAGGCGCTTGTTTCATTATTCCGACAAAACGTGAAATTTAAAAGGGTGCTTTTATTCATTGTTTTTATGCCCACTGCACCTCTCATCTAACACAAACATACATGTTGCTGCCTTTAAAAATTTTTGAAATAAAAAGATAAAATTGGATAGGCACGCTTAAAATCTGGTCATAAAACGTAGTCAATACAGGTAGAGTATTCGAGACGTAGTCAAGTATCATCATAAAACGGCGCTTCCTCTTCCTCGGCTCAAAATTTCCGTTAGTATACAGCGGGTCATAAATCCCTCTCGACGACGAAGTGAATAATTCGTTTGATAACATTCGCATTTGCAGTTTCAGCGAATCACCGGCGATTTTCGGGACGTTAGTAATAGAGCGTCGACGATTTTTATTTCAGAACTCGACGAATTTCATCGCTCGGCGTACGATTAGGCGAATGTTGCGCGCTTTATGGCTCCGGGTTTACGATATGAATCGGCCCTTTTATGACGGCGATCGTAAAATTTTGGCGATTTTGTTTCAGAAAAATTTACTTTGTACTGATTGGATTAAGTATCTATCCAGTATACAGACCATTAAATATTAAATTAAACGGTTTTTCATATAAGTTAATGGTTCAGAAGAAGTTTTAAAACAAAAAGATTTTTCCTATCGATATGATCTATATGATCTCAAAGTTTTGTCCATATCATACAGTGAATTTCACTTAAGATGCAATATACAAAAATATCTATAAGATGCAATATACAGGGTGACTTATAAGTTCACCATCAAACTTTGTAATGCCCAGATATGTTCATTATGGTAATTATTTATACCATCTCGTGTAAAACATGATTGTTGTTGCTGATTATCTCCTAGCTGTAGAGCTTGAACATTCTATTTACGATACGAATGAAAGAATTCGCGGTTCAATACGCGCCATGCAAAATTTTGACTTACATGTATGCTGTGTGCTATTCTTCGAGTGCTGATGGAAGGATTATCAATGACAGCATTAATTACAGCTTCGTCCTCTACATTAACTACATGCGATCGAATAGCTTTTGCTATAGCAGGATTACCTGTTTCTCGAAGTCTTCTGAAAGAATCGCTAAAAACTGAATAATATGGCAAATGCCGCTGTGGAAATCTTTCTTGATAATCTCGTACTGATTGTCGAGAATTTCCATTGCAAAAGCAATACACGAAAATTATATCACTTATAGCACTCTTCAGTGCTATTAGCGTACATTTTGAGTTTCATCTTGTATGTAATAATTAAACCTCACAGCAAACTAACATATTACAATGACAATAATTGAAATAGGACATATGTTCATTAACATTTTTTTTTTGTAATTGAATTAGCTATCATATGTCAAAGTTTGATGGTGAGCTAATAAATCACCCTTTATATAATTTACCTCATGTTTTGTTTATGACAAATGTTTTTAACTTCGTTGAGATACAATTTATGTTTCACTCCGTAAAAGATCTCCACCCTGTATATAATAAAGCGTGGTCTTAAAATTATATATTTGAATATTATTCTTTTAATAAATTTTTCAATTTTCATTGTGTTCAGTGTGGAAAATGTAGGCCGATTCCAACACTTCGTTATTCGATTAACCCTTTTTTGGAGTACGGCTGCAAGAGACGCCTTTGAACTAACCGTTCCATCAAAAATGACAGCAGCGCCGCTCGCCGGTAGCCGTTGAAACGCGAACCGCACGGAAATCTGTTAATTCCGCGCCGATTCGGCCGACATCGGAAACTCATTCACTATGCGCGCAGCCAACTCGATTTTGACCGTCTATATATAGATGCGATTTCCAATACCACCGTGTATTTTCCACAAAAAGAATTATTAATTTTAATCCAAACCCGAATTTTTCAAATTTTTTTTTTTGATTTATTTAATAAATAATTCAATTAATAATAATATAATTAAAAATAATAATTTAATTATAAAATCTTGAATTTAAAGTACTTTTCGTGATATACATTTTGATAAAAAGAATCGTTAATTTGAATTGGACCGTTTATACTAGAAATTCCAAACGGGCAGCGGAAAAATTAATTTTGTGCCGATAACGAACTCGGGCACGTTATTGCCTTCGTTTTACCGGTATTTTTAGTGATTAAAAACGACGAGAATAAGCTTAACAACGCTTAATTAAAAATGTTAGTGGATGTGCACTCGTACGATTGAACCATTTTTTTGCTCACCTTTTGATTTAATAACGAGAGGTAGCTACGAGCTGGTATAATATTCTAAAGAGTCCGCATCCACCGCTTAATTAAAATTATGCTAAAAATGACTAATTTAGTACAAGCACACATGTCTTTTCTTATTACTGCTTGTAGTTTTAACCCATTTGCATCATTCAGAAAGGAATTATAAAGTGACCTATATATCAATAATTTTTTTTTCTGTAGAACTATCTTTTCTCTATCTAGAACTAAAAACATTCAAGTTTAGCCGTTTTGAAAGACGCACGGCTAAACCCGAATGTTTCTAGGTCTAGATGTAGTTTTAGTTCTCTATTTAGATTAATAGAAATATGCAACAACCGTGAATGACCACTAAGACTGGAGCTATCACTGGAACTAACGGCTCCAGTCTTAATGCTAGTGTTAGATTACTAGAACTAATACTGGACCTAGAACTAGAATCGTTCAGGTTTAGCCGAACGTCTTTTAAGACGGCTAAACCCGAACGATTCTAGTTCTAGGTCTAGCGTTGGTTCCAGTAATCTAACACTAGCACTAAGACTGGAGCTGACACTAACACTATCGCTAGAACTAACACTAGACATATAACTAGAATCGTTCGGATTTAGCCGAACGTCTTTTAAGACGGCTAAATCCGAACGATTCTAATTCTAAGTCTAGTATTGGTTCTAGTGATCTAACACTTACACTAACATTCAAGGCGCACGGCTAAATCCAAAAGTTTTTAATTCTAAGCCTAGTGTTAGTTCTTATTCTAGTATTAGCTCTAGTTTTGGTTGTTATTAAGCACGGCTAAACCCGAATATTTCTAGTTCTAAATCTAGTGTTAGTTCTAATTTTATTATAATACATTAAACAATAATAATGGTATAAATAATATCAATTTTGGTCCCTATTGTAAGCGTATGTATACAATGGTGATAATGGTCAGGAAAAATTCGTTAAATTAAATACAACTTATGATGCAAATGTGTTAACATAAATATTCCCATTCCACTTTTAAATTAGCATCCAAAAACTTTAGATTTTTTTTTAACTCTCTTCAATATTTTAAATAAATCTTTCGACTTATTCTATTATAGTTTTTTTTTTCTTGTCTCCGTGCCTAATGTTTCTTAGTAAAAGCCAATCAAAATGTACTTTACTTTCGCCCGTTTCCAATGATTTTTGTTCCAGCCAAATTGGACGGCGTGAAAACGTACATGCGCATGAGGAGAGTCCCCAATCATCTACAAGTCAAAGTGATCAAATGGTTCGACTATTTATGGCTCACTCAAAAGTGTTCCGATGAGGAGAGAGCCGTTTCTTGTCTTCCAGATAAATTAAAAGCGGAAATAGCCATCAACGTTCACTTAGACACCTTGAAACGGGTCGAAATATTTCAAAATACTGAAGCTGGATTCCTCTGCGAGTTGGTGCTTAGGCTTAGACCGGTTCTTTTCTCACCAGGTGACTACATTTGTAGAAAAGGTAAAATCTAAATAATAAGTTGATGTGAATTAGATTATTATTTTTTTATTTTAAACGTAGGTGAAGTAGGTAAAGAAATGTATATAGTGAATCGAGGTAGACTTCAAGTGGTTGCTGATAATGGTAGAACTGTGTTGGCAACGTTGAAAGCTGGGAGTTATTTTGGAGAAATTTCTATATTAAACATGGGAACGGCAGGTAAACACCTTGGTAAATATCAGGCAGGCCCATTTTATTGGTGGTTGGAATTAATACTACTACAACCCCTTTTTGGTATTGCTATCCAATAGCATGGTGCTTTTGTGGCTTGATCTGTTTAATATTTTTAATTTTTTTATGTAAAAGTAACGTTATCAGCAATTTTTTTTATTATAATATCTAAATTTATTTTTGAAAGGCATAAAATAGCCTTAATGATTGAAACATCAAAGGACAACCACAATTTAATTTCCTTTTCTAATTAGTGTTTGATGTAGCTACTCCCATTTGTTGATTGCATCTATTCACAAAAGGCTTAACTATTTATACCAATAAGAAACTACTTGTACCTTAGTTTACAGTGTGTATGTATTTGTCTGTTTCACGGAGGGAACTCAAATTGGAATTACTGTTTGCGGACAATCAGTTAGAATTTGCATGTTGCTAGGGGGAGGATTTGAAGAGAAACTTGTATTTGCATTAACCTTTTACTAATAGTAATTCGATTAAGGGACGAAAAGGATGAATTTTGTTTAAAGAAAATTGCTGGTAACCTGTTACTCCGTTCATCTAATATTCTTCGTTCACCTCGCCGAGAGCATATGCAACCTTCGTTTCGCGATTCAATGCACATCATCAGTATCAATCAGTCTGAATCCCGTAGGCGCGATAACAAATCCGGCGCAAAAGCCGAATTGTCAAGATCCGTATCTATATTGAATCGGCGGCCAACAACGCGCCTCCAAACTCACCCCCGATTTTAACCCTCCCCAACGGCTCACGTTGCTGCCGGTTTGTTTGCTCCTTTTTGCCTGCGCTGCACATCTAATGCGAGTTTGTGGCATGAAGCCAAACACGTTAGTGTCAACCCCGCAATTCCATACGTACGCCCCGAGCTACCACAATATTTTACCAGGAAATTCAGGGCGGCTATGATAAATGGATTAGCGCGTAATGGCGGACCTCTATTTTCGGGTTTGAGGTTATTTCGGTGAAAATGATCCCCAGAAGTGCGATAAGTAACACAACATAAACTTAAACTAGATATGAATGTATAATATATGATAGAAAATATATATTCTCTCTCGTTTCCATGGCAAAGTCTCCAAAAATAGGTGACCCAATGTAATTAAAAAATAGATGACGTTTAAGATGACCTCGCATTTATTACTACGCTTACTACAAGAGTTTTGAATCTATTAAAAGTCTTAAATATACACTGAATTTCACAATATACAAAAATATAGTTCTTTAGAAATCAAGGTCACATAAAAAGCAACATTTGAATGTTTCTAGTTCTAGATCTAAGGTTAGTTCTAGTGACAGTGGTAGGTAGCGCTAGTTAATATAAGATATCACTATGTTGCATATTTTTATTGAACTAAAACTAGAACTAACACTAGCACCTATCACTAGAACTAACACAAGACCTAGAACTAGAATCATTCGGGTTTAGCCGTCTTGAGAGACGTGCGGCTAAATCCGAATGTTACTAGTTCTCGGTCTAGTGTTAGTACTAGTATTACACTATCACTAGAAACATCATAAGACCTAGAACTAAAATTATTCGGGTTTGTCTTAGCTGCCCTCGATACCTTACATTTTTAAATGCTTCCAATTACTCCGAATACCTCCAAATAGCACGCAATGTCTTTATCTTTTAGTGGCGTTAAGTTGTTCCTGATATTTTTAGCTATTAAAAGCTCGAAATGTTTGTCAAAGGTTTTTAATTACTCCGAATGACTCCCAATGGTTCTCACTGACTCCAAATAGCTTTTAATATCTTTCGTAATTACAACACACACAAAAAGTGTTGTTTTTTAAAGGCTCTCAGTACATTAATATCGCTAATTAACTCTGAATTGATTAACTCTGATCTGACCTCGATACTTTACACTTATAAATGCTTCCAATTACCCCGAATACCTCCAAATAGCCTCGCAATTGTTCCCAATGCTGTTATCCTCTAGTGGCGCCAAGCTGTTCCTACGCGTTGTTCCTGATACTTTTAGGTATTAAAGGTTGAAGAATAATGAGAATGACTCCTCATCACTTAGTAATTCTGTATCTCAATTCAAATTCTTCTCACTGACTCCCAATAGCTTCTAATATCTTTCGTTGTTACACGACCTAGTTGCTTCCATAAAGTATTTGCTCATCAATATCTCTTAACTTAGCGCTGTTTGCTGCCCTTGATATCGTACATTTTGCTCCGAATATCTCCAAGTAGCTGGCTGGCTGACTTTAAGTACCTCTCATTAGATTTCAATTACTCAGAATGACTCCCAATAGTTCTTTAGATATTTCAACATCTCTCAGTAATTCTTAATGCTCAAGATTTACACTCAAATCGCCGAGGTCGCTTGCGGGCAAAACGCTTGAATTCTTTAAATTTGATGATTGCATCTGGATGTATTTTCTAGCTTATTTACCATTAAGCTTAAAACTTGTGAAGGAGAATCGTTGCATGGCTAAACCCATTCTTTTATTAACATCTTTGCACAACATTCCATTCGTTGCATAATAGAATACGATACAATAATAGAGATAATTCAAAAATAAATGAAAAGCCATAATATTTATGATATAATAAATTTGAAGAATTTATTTTTTAATTTAACTTATTTAATGGAACATCAATAACCTCGTTATTTCAATACTTTGTGGGGTAGCACAGTGATGTAATCCTCTTAACGATAATGTAACAAGAAGAACACAAGTAACAAAGGAAAATTTAATTCTCTTTTGGCTAATATTTTCCTAAAAAATTTATGTTCTAAGGTTTATTGTAATATGACATATTTTAATGATAAATTAAACTTGACATTTTATTAAAAATCTAATTTTCACACATTTTTCCCAAAAAGAAAATAAATTAAATCCTTATTGGTACAATCTAGATATATCATTTTGATATCGACGTTTGCAGATGCTACAGCAGTATCCTTAAGGAAATTGGAAATGTGACAGTAACAAACACAAACAAGTTAGATTCGACTTATTTATTTAGTCGAGAAACATTTTTATGGAAATATTTTCCAAAATTAAATAATTTCTCGGAATGTAATGTAATAGGCATGCCACAATTGGAGATCTAATCCAATTGAAGAGTAGGTTTTTAATCACATTAATGCTTCACAGCACGTCACCACATTGCACGTTCTCCATAAATTTAGTTCGAATCGTTTCAATTATTCCGCAATTTCAATGTTATTTAGTAAGCCCTCGTATATTTAATTGATAGGAAACAGGAGGACAGCTAGCGTTCGATCGGTTGGTTATAGCGATCTTTTCGTTTTGAGTAAAAAGGATATGTGGGATGTTTTAAAAGAGTATCCAGCGGCGAGGGTACGTCTGGAAGCGATTGCTGTGAAGAGATTAGAAAAGTATAAAAGGGCGCCGTTGGAGAAAGGTCAGTATTGCGGGTCAAATCAAACCAAATTTGATCCTCGATTATGCAAACAGATGTGCGTGATGTACTCACTATTCGGATATTAATTGGATTTGTAACTAGCAAACGCTGATAGATTAACACCGATTCCATTTGGATTTGTTTTAATTATGAAATTCATAAATCGGGGGAGTGCTCCGTATTATTAAATTGCTATTTGTACGCGCCCCAAATTTCAATAAAATCGGGATTTATTTAAAAAATTTGTTTCGGCCGAAATTAATTTTCTGTTATATAAAAAAAGAGAATGATACATTTTTAAAACGACATAAATAAACAGTTTGTTTGAAAATTATTTTTTTAGCTGCAATGGGTCGAAGTCAATCGACTCCCGGCCTCGTGGAATCAAGGGGGAAAATCCCTTTAGAAGAAATGTGGGTTCCACCGGGTTTGGTGGGCTTAACTCCTGTCTATCAGAGATCCTTGTTAGGTTCACCACCGAGGCCGCCACCGGATAGCCCTGGATCTACAAGCAGCGGGAGAAGTCGACATCATACTCCAGCTTCCCAAGCTAGATCAGGTAAATCTATTATTAAATTTTATAATAATTCAATTTCTTTCTTTAAACTATAAATATATTAAAAAAGATTTTTTTATGTATCCTACTACAATTTATAACTTTACAATATTAAAAAAACACAAAAGTTTGAAATATTTAGATTGCTCAGCTTAAGTAATGTTGAAAGAACACACGATGACATCACGTTAAGAAGCAATACATGATAGGCAGAAAGAAAATATCTTTGCCAGAAACAAATTACTATGAGAAAAAGCAAAAAAATATAGTGACAAGTTATATCAAAGACTTGTGGAGAAAAAAGTATCATGTGCAGAAGCGAAATATCAAAAGTTCAAGCAAAATATGTTTATAGCTTAAATAACAAAGACAAGAAACTATGTGCAGAAACATTTATCAAAAGAAAAAGCAAAAAATTTGTGCCATAGACTTATGCAGAAATTATAACAAAATCCTTAATGTTCCACCAAAAAAAAGAAATCACAGATCTAATTTTTGGTATAATTTATCAAGAATAATAAAAATTAATAATTTGCATTAAATTTTACAATAATTTTACAATATTAATTATTTTATAATTGAATAAAGCACCATTTGGTTCCATGGAAAATAATTTTGGTGAAATCGTGCGTGATTTGTTCTCAGAGCAATTTCCCGGGTGTCCTATTCCAAAGTGCAACTACTATTTCAAACATAATCAAGAGTTTTGCGAAAGTGCAAAGTCAAAAAGTTATACGAAAACCACCTTCTCCTTTTACCGTAATTTTCTTGTGTTTTTATTTATTTTGTTTGTTGTAATACAATACTGTATACATAAAACGAAAATGTAACGCTATCGATTTCGTCGTTATCGAGAAAAAGAGAAGTTATATTTTAGTTTCCTTCGCAGGCACAACGTTACAGTGTGACAGTATGACACAGTTAGTGTCAGGAGCTGCAACGCCACTCCTGGGATCTCACGAAGCCCTAGAAACGGAGATCAAACGTCTGAGGGAAAGGCTACAAACTGTGGAATCGGAAAATGCTGCGATGAGCGTCAAATTGTGTCAACAGCAGTGGGAATTGGAAAATCGTCTGGCCGACATCGAAATGCAAATTTGTGGTTCACGATCGACTTCCAGCTTAGAAGACAACGAGAGGAACCGCGAGAGCATTATTTAACAACAAAATGTGCTGCCTTACAATATATTACAGACGCATTCCCACGCGTTCGTACAATATATTGTATAATGGTGGCAAAAATTTGCGCTAAATAACTTTAAATTAGTTTGTATGAGGTGGAGCGGACGTTAATACGTGAAATTAAAGCAACAAAAGAAACAAACAAACGAATTTAACTCATAAGCGCGTGTCTTTCTAAATAAATTAATTAATGAGGAAAAAATTCATTAATGTTGTTGAGGTAAAAAACAGTGAGAATTATTGTAATAATGATAAAATGATGAAAAATGATGAAACCGAGTATTTATTTCAACGTTGACAGAAAACTGCCAATCCCGTGTTTGTACCCCAAAGTTTCATAATAATTAATTATTTTTTTCTTAGCTCGGTACCTTGTAAATACGTTATTAGGAAAATTGGAAAGAAAATGCGATAACCAAATCAGCACGAAATAAAATTTTGTGGAGACAAAACCCCCGTAAGTGTTATTAATGTCGTTTTGCTTCAGGTATTCGCCAATATCAATGTATGAAACTCCTTGCAATGAGTTAAAAAATAAAATACAAATTCCTATAATAACATGCAGGGTTCATTTTCATTTCAATTTTACACCAAATTTTTTATTAAACACTGCATTTTAATATAAAAATTAGTATTTATTTGTATTTCAAATTGCAGGAGTTTTGTTACAATTACTTTTAATCCTGCAATTTGAAATACATAAAATCAGTAGTAATAAAAAAAACGAAGGATGTTAGTGTGCTGGGACCAAACAAACGAATTCAATATAGAACAAAAAATGAAACGTTCACATCCGTGTGTCCTGATGCTTCCCACTTTGCTGAATCGGTCTGTTAACCCTTATCACTCCTAACACACTTTAAAGGAGTCACAACTGCCAAGTTTTAAAACTTTCATCATCGTATAGAAAAAAAAATGATCCTAAAGATCTTAAAGGTCCTAAAGATCCTAAAGCGCTGTACCCCATATAGAATAGCGACGAAGAAAAAAAAATAATTAAAAAGAACATGATAATCCATAGACATTTTTTCTCTCTTAGGGCGATTACTTAGTAAATAGAAATGAAAACGTTATATTTATCTTTGTGTTTGTTTAAATTTATCAAATAATGAGAAGGAGAATTAAATAATTACAAACAAAAAAAAGGAAATGAAAAGAAAATGTTAAAGAGACCAAATATTATTAAGGAGTTTCACGAATAAATTTTGCTTCCTTAGTCGAATTAATAAAATAATTGCTACTGTGCAGGGTGAGTACAGCTTGGCAAATCTATCTTGGCTAACTGAGCAAAAGAAGGAAAAAACTTAGAACATTCATCTTAATATTACAGCTTCTCAGAAACACAATCTCCAACATCAAATGAAGACTATTTACTGCTTCCAAAACACGAGATACTGATGGAAAATATTGCTATGTATTTGGAAAGACGAGATACTGCTTCTAAAAGACTACTTACTGCTTTCAGAAGACTAGATACTCCTAGCAAAAGGCTAATAGTTGCTTGAAAAGAGAAGATATTGTTTTCAATACGCTACCTAATGCTTCCAGAACGTTAGATATTGCTGGAAAAGATTTCTGTCCACTTGGAAAGGCTTCCAAAAACTATTTTCTGTTTTCAGAAGACTAGATACTGCTTGAAAAAAAAAAAGATATTGTTTCCAAAAGGCTACTTACTGCTTCTAGAACGCTGAATACTGCTGGGGAAGATTTCTATCTACTTGGAGCTATTTCGAAAACGGCCGTGGTTACTCTTTTCATCCATTTCAAGCAAGATGACAAATGACAGCCACCAAATCCTTGAAGAAAAGGTCTTCAAACATGTTTTCTAGATGTTTCCTAATATCATCGTACCAGCGCAAAATGGGACTTCCTTAGTTTCTTTTCTCTCCTCACTGTTTTTATTTATTGTCGCAATATCCCATACGAAATCCATACACGAATACATTCACATGCTAAGATAGATTTACCAAGCTATAGAAAATATTCGATTATATTATCAAAGTTATTACAACTCACCTTGTATAGTGTAAATTTCTAGCTTCTAAATAATTTTATGTTAATGCCTGTATTGTTCACATCAAGTGTTAAGACGTCGTATAAAAAGAGATTGAGAAAAAAAACTATACTGACTGCCACTAACATTAAGATTGTATATTTAAAAGAAATAAAAACCCAGAAATAAAAGAAAAACTTTACGGGACTGTTTTGTAATTGTACGGATTAAATTAAAAAGGAAATATGGTGAGGTGTTAAATAAAAAGGATATAAATAAAAAAAAATTAAAATAAAATATTTGTTGCTAAATCGTTACGATTATATTGAGATGTAATTTATATTATTGTCATTAATATTGTATGTAAATGTTACGTTTTCCACCGAGCATGCGAGAAATCTTATGACAACCATGATAACACACTGTTACACACTCATATCATGTGGGATGTAAATTCATTAAATCGAATGTCACCGGGAAAGATCGGTAAAACATGCGTAAGGGCGAATAATCAATGACACAAATTAATAAAAAGAAAACTAATAAATAAATAAAATAATAAAGCGAAATAACATGAAAAAAATTACTGTACATTTTGTTCGAATTGTACAGATAGACTGTAAACGGTTCTTTGCAATTTTGTCCCCCTTAGCTAATTCCATAATTGTATGATCACCGTTTTGTCATGTTATTCCTAACATTTAATATAATTAAATAACAATTAAATAATTTAAATATAATGTTTCGTTTTATTTTATACCTAAAACAATTATTATTTAGACCTAGAACTAGAAACATTCGGGTTTAGCCATCACTTGAGAAGGCTAATGTTTATAACAACGTCACTATAAAGTGGCGAAAAGGACATACCAGAAATAAATTCCACAGTCGCAGTCCGGGCTATCTCTTTGTCCAGTCTTGTACAGATATGATTCAGTTGTAGCCTGTACGCTTCTCAGCCTATTAATCAAAATGTAAACATATGGAATTCTCTCAAACCAGGCAGCTTTTTCAAAGCTTAACTCCATCTCAGCATACCATCTTGCTTTGTACAATATTGTTTCTCGCCAATCAGCCACCCACTCCTCGTTTATTCTATCTCGGAGACAAGGATATGTGTCCATGACAGTCGCCGCGGAGTTAGCTTGAGAGCCTCACGGGCCAAACGGTTATTACCATGTATTCTGCAATGGGATGGTACTCAACATAACTTAACCTTTAGTCCCTTACTATCAATTAGGCTCAGTTTCTTCATAACGGAGGCAAGTAAGTAATGAACCAATCTAAAATTTTGGAATAATTCAAGAATAGCAGGGTCGTCTAAAAATCGACGATTTTTTTTTATCGATAGGAAATGACCCAAAAAGACATTAATATAAAAGAAAAAAGTGCGGAAAAGTGTAGAATATACCGAAAAATCACTTTAAAGTTTCGATGTGACGTCACGTTCTAGGTTCGTGTTAAAGAGAGCCGTCGGTAAAGATGAATGCGAAGCCGTTCCATCTGCCTTCCACATATTCCATAAACACGTTATTAGCTCCAGCCACCCCTTAATAATGCTCTTGTAAATAAGGAAATCTAAGACGAGTCCAAATGTTCGGCAATATACCTCATATGGGACTGTAAAACTGATATGCTTTATGTCCTGCTCAAGACATTTTTAAAATTTACTATACGAAATGTCAATATGACATATCTTGTTCTCTAAACATGAAATAACAAAATTCCCTGTTAATGTTACCAACTGTTGTTATAAGAAAAGTTTATTGTTTACTTAACGTTACTTACTTTAGTTTACTTTAAATCAAATATTAAAATTTAATAAAATGGTTACGAATAATAAAAAGATTAATTAATTTAAATTTGATTGATAAAAAAATAAAAAAAAAAAAAGTTGTCAGAAGTGGGATTCGAACCCACGCCCTCAGAGAGGACCAGAACGCTCGAAACCCGAACTATTCGGGTAAGGTTAACCTTGAGTCTGGCGCCTTAGACCGCTCGGCCATCCTGACATATACCAATAGTACCTTGTTCAAACATATTAATTAACCTTTTTGCTAAATCACACGATGTTTTAAAAATAAATTATATTAAATAAAAATATAAAAAAGATAATCGAAATATTGTTTTAATATTTATAAAACGATAAAAACCATATTAATTAAAGATATTTAATTTATTGTAATTAATATTTTGCTCTGCAACGTTCTGTAATGTATGGGACGTATATTAGGTTGCCTATCTTTCATATATGTTGTTTCCTTAATAATTTTCGTCAAAATCTTATTTCAATATAAAAATATTAATAAAATACAAATACTTAAAAAAAGAATTAAATTAAATTTATTACTTTCAGTTATAGTAATCCTTAGCCCGCAATGTATAATATATTACCATTGACTATTTTATACCAGACTGCTAACCGCTACGTAAAAATTGGTAACGCGTAAAGTGTTATTTTTGATTTGTCCGCTATGGGGGATTTTATAATAATAATGGATATGATTAAGAGATGGCAGCACTATTTTTGATTTATATTCCCCCTCATATCTTCTTGTACTAATAATAAAAATTGTTTAGTATTTCTTTTTTAATTAATAAATAAAATTTTATTGTATGAAAACATTATACGTTTTCCGTAAAAACCGGTTGTTTCTACCAGTTTATTTTCATTAAAAAATAATATTAATTTTTAGAGAAATTTTTTCAATACTTTGAACAATTTTAAGAGTTGTTCTATCTGGTTTTAAGTTAAGTACTTGGGGAAATCCCGAGATAACTGACAGGTTGTTTCCACCAGTTTCTACGGAAAAAGTTGGTAAAGGCGGGCTTAACGTCGCAGGCGGAGTTTATTTTAGTTTATTTGCTTTAAATATCTATAATTATTATTTAAAACTAGTTATTAAACCTAAAATTATTGGTCTTTAATTGTAAACAAGCTTTATCTTTTATTAATATTTTGAAATAATATAGTAATTAGACAAGGGGTTAAAAGGCACGGAAACAAAATATATTAAAAGGTCGAGCTTGAGCCGAGAGTAGAGGATTTCCATTAAAGTCCATCCTAAATAAAATATTGAAACATTTATTATAGTACTTGAGGTAGAGGTACTTCAGATAGAGATACTTGAGGTAGTGATAGAGGTACTTGAGATAGAGATAGAGGTACTTGAGGTAGGGGTACTTGGCTAGAGATACTTCAATGAAGTGGCGAACCAGTTCGCGTATCGTGTAGATCTAGCTTTATACAAGCATATGTTGTTTCTTCTAAGAAGAAAACCTTTCGGAAGAAGAACGCATCCCTGGAAGAGCTAGAGGTCGAGCTAGAGAGATAAAGATAAATAAATAAATAAACAAACAAAGATAAAATTATTCTTAATTTTTAAAATGTTATTTTCTTTGAAAAAAGTTAATGTCTTTTTTATGTATGACTCTTTATCCAACTCAACGAGGCCTGCATTTTTGTCTCCCATGGTAACAATACGATTTTCTATTTTAATTTTATGTTTCAGATTTTTAATGATGCGAAGAATTAATTTAGTATGGAAAGATTTTATGTTGACGTTCTTATTCCCACTCGTTTTCCCTCACTCTTTCACCTTTATCATCTGGCGAACGTTCCTTATGACCTTCAGTCCAATTTCATCCCTCATCATGTTGACTCAAGTTATTTAATTTTAAAGGAAATTTTAACGTGTTAATTGTAAGTTTAAAAATTTTCTTTCTTTTTTGATTTCTTATATTTAGTTATTATGGTTCTTTCTCTACAGGTTTGGTAATTTGTTTTGTCGTTAATTTTTAACATTTATTTTTAAACACTTTGAAAAACGAGATTTACGATGAATAGAAAAACGCCATTTTAATTTTTTGGATTTTTCAATTTACTCTTCAAGTTTTTTTACATTTGAATTTTTCGTAAACGGAATCTTTTTGAAGAAATACTCTGAAACAATACTCTCTTCACTCTCGATGCTCCTACACCGACGGTAATTATATATATTTTTTATCTGTGTTTTTGTTATATCTGAATGTTCCTTAGTCCTGCCTGAAGAAGAACGATAATCGTTCGAAATCTTCGAAGATAGCACCGAAATAAAATATTTTCATCGTTTATACGACTTTTAATTTTTTTTAGCAGCAAAAAACCATACAACTTACCTGGAAAAAAGCCACCAAATCGATAATAGAGGCATCTCCAATAGGCCCCAAGATCAAGAAAACCTTAATAATAATAACCCTCGGGAAAAATCAAGCAGGTGCCCAAACTCTATGGTCTGCCCAAAATACCCTCCCTCAGGAAGGCTGCTCCGGATCGGGGACGGTGTAGGACCGTTTTCCAAGTGGCTGACAAGTACAGGGCGTCATCTCTCTTGTTGAAGGTACCGTTCTTCTCTATTTCGGTGGACTCGCGGATGAGTCTGGTGCTCCAATGTGGAACGTTGGCTATTTCCATATCTGAAGCTGCTAGTTTTCCATATATACATATACATAGAATAATCATGCAAAATAATTTGATATTAAAATAGTATTATTTAAGTGTTTGCCTAACCTATCCTTTGATATGGACTCCCCCGCTGATAGAATGAGAGTCATTCAGCTTGCGCATACTACATATCAATCCTATTATTCCACGTGGAAAATAACCATGATGCTCTGATCTCAATGAGAGTTAGTACTTTCATGGAGGCATTGTCGTTAGCGAGGCTTACAAACCCTCCAGCATGCCTATGAAGTGGGTATAGTTGCATCATGGTTATTTTCCACGTGGAATAATAGGATTGATATGCTGTATGCCCAAGCCGAATGACTCTCATTCTGTCAGCGGAAGGAGTCGATATCAAAGGATAGGTTCGGCAAACACTTAAATAATACTATTTTAATATTAAGTTATTTTGCACGAATTTTCTATTTATATGTACATATGGTACACTGGCTCAAGATATAGAATTATTCAATATATTTTCCACGAGGAATTATAATAAAAATTGCATATATACGTATAACTAAAATATTCGTGCAAAATAATTTGATATTAAAATACTATTATTTAAGTGTTTGCCTAACCTACCATTTAAATGACTCCACGTATCTACCGACTGGAAGTCTGGCCCCTAGTTAGAAAAAAAATAATTTTGATTAAATTCGCTATAACTAAAGAACGGTTTGACCGATTTCAATGTTCTATATCTCAAACGAAAGCTTGCGTCTGGCTGAATAATTATGTGTAAAGTATATTGAACACTTCCATATCTGAAGCTGCTAGTTTTCCATATGTATATGTAAATAGAATAATCATGCAAAATAATTTGATATTAAAATAGTATTATTTAAGTGTTTGCCTAACCTATCCTTTGATATGGACTCCCCCGCTGATAGAATGAGAGTCATTCAGCTTGCGCATACTACATATCAATCCTATTATTCCACGTGGAAAATAACCATGATGCTCTGATCTCAATGAGAGTTAGTACTTTCATGGAGGCATTGTCGTTAGCGAGGCTTACAAACCCTCCAGCATGCCTATGAAGTGGGTATATCTGCATCATGATTATTTTCCACGTGGAATAATAGGATTGATATGTAGTATGCGCAAGCCGAATGACTCTCATTCTGTCAGCGGAAGGAGTCGATATCAAAGGATAGGTTCGGCAAACACTTAAATAATACTATTTTAATATTAAATAATTTTGCACGAATGTTCTATTCATATGTACATATGGTACACTAGCTCAAGATATGGAAGTATTCAATATATTTTCCACAAGGAATAATATTTTTAATATTTTAATAATAATATTTTATTTCTCCATTTTACAAAAAAGCATAGAGTGCGTCAATTTAACAATAATTACATTGTGATATAATACAAATTGAATTCAAACATTAAATTGGAAAAACATGTCAATGGTATATATCGGATTTTCCGTGACAATAGCTTTCAGTCTCCTCCGGAATCTTGGAACTGGCAGATTCTTTAAACATGATTCTTCTCTCGTTTGTGCCCATAGTTTAAGCTAGATTTACGCTAAGTTTTCTTTATTTATTCTCGTTTTCCTCACCATTACCGCTAATAAGAATTTTTTATTTTTATTTTAGTACCTAAATTAGTTTATGTAAGTAGTCGTTATTAGAGTATATGCGATAAGATAATTTATAATAATTAGTATTGTAGCGTCTATGTTCGAATATATGCCTTAAATATTGTATTTTTTCTTTAATTTATTTAAATAGATTATATTTATTTATTTCTTTCATAATTTGTTTCAATAGTTGATCCCACGGTTAGGCACGGAGGCCCTAGCGTTTGCTTTACATAACTTTTATTTTATTTAATTTTTTTTTCTTTAATAGATGCGTGCGCCAATTCACGCCATCAAATCACTAAACAAGTTACACTAAAAGACATTTCCACATTTAGTTAGCAATCTAGAGTAGTATAATCAATGATATTACCTGGAATACTTGTTTACCATTATTATGATAAATGACCAATAACCTTAACTATATAATAACTATATAATATCCGTTGTCTCTTTCAGTACTATTCATTACCTTAAACGATAAATATCAAAAATGTTACAATTCCAGCAAAAATTTCTAATTTTCGTAACTTTTTCTATAATTATTAGAACGAATTCTTCACATGCAATTAAAAGTTGCATTTACAAAAACTTACAAGGAAATACTATGATTCTTAACGGTTACATAGAACCACCAAACAAATCGATTTATTTATATAATTGGAAAAATATTTCAACACTCACCCATATTAACTTCAACAATTACATCATTAAATTTAAAAATATTCCGGAATTAAACTCAACTATAAATGCAATTAAATCAATTTCATTTAAGTATTGCGATTCGATATTTATTGTGTACATTGAAGATGATGAATCTCCCGATGCAATCTTAAACTTGCTTAAATTTCACGATGTTTATAAAGGAATGGTGATCTCTGATGATAAATTATATAGAATTAACCCAAATGAGTTGTCTGCCTTGCCAGAAGAAATTAAATGTATTGATTTTAGTTTAAATTGGGATTTTAGAAATTTATTGGTAAAATTATCTTGGGATATTCGACCACCTTACGCTATAAATGATAATAAAAATTCAACACCAGGAATTTTAATAAGTATTATTACAACGATTTCTAAAAAATACAATTTCACCATTTACTTTAACAAACCTTCAAAGATTTATATTGATGAATTTACGCGGGATGGAGCTTTTACAACGATCGGTTACGAGTTTAAAAATAAAATAACTGATTTAGCAGCGCATGGGGCAAGAGCTTTAACGTTTCCGCACAACCTTTACTCGTTTGATACGGTTTTTGTAGTCGAAGATGGAATCGAGATTTTATTCCCAAACCCCGATGAAATCGAAGGGTGGAAAAAGTTCGTTTCAATTTTACCACCAAAGTATTGGTGCTTGGTTTTGTTGATACACATCGTTTGTATCGTTTTATTCGTTTTGATTAAATTTAAAGAGAACGAAATGAAGAAAAGCGATTTTATTAATATCTTTTTAATGATATTTAGTTGGAATTTAAGTTTATCTTCGAACCTTCAAACGAAACGAAACGCATTGATCCCAATAATCTTATTTTATAGCTTAATTTTGAACGTTTACATCCAAGGAAAGTTTTATAGCACATCAACAGTTCCCGCTTTTGAAAAACCAATTAATACGTTTAAAGAATTATTTTTATCTAAATACAAAATAAAAACGTCTAATATGTTTTATAAAATGATTAATATTTATAACATAACCACGAATTATGTTGAAACGAATGATCCCCTTCAACTTGTAATCGATGAATTTTTTAAAACGCGGAATTTTATAACACTCGGACAAAACGTTTTCACACAATTTTACCCTCAGTACAAAGGGATGTATAGAAAAATGGGATTGAGTCGTTTTTATTGCGCGATGCAAATAAGACCTTCCTTGCCGATACTAAATCAAATGAATAACAACATTTATTTGATGCACCAAAGTGGATTAATCGAAAAATGGCAATCGGATATTCGATGGGATCATATCATAAAATCCGAATTTTTTAGCGAAAAAACCGGACCAAAACAATTATCCATTACAAGCGTTGAAATCGCATTTTTCATTATCATATGTGGATTGATTTTATCAATTATAACATTTTTTATAGAAATAATGAAAGGAAAATTGAAGTTACACATTTAATAACGGCTTTTTATTTGGACAAATAAGTTAAGAGGAGTATTTACATACATTCGTAAATGCAAAGATGGATTAGAAGGAAATATATTAAATTTATTTAATACAAAGTGTTTCATACCTTATTTATAACACGAAACACTCTATATGAATACTTTTTTCTTAAATCATTTGTCTTATTTTCTAATTTATTTACTTAAAACATTTACAATATTCTTATAACACTGTCGTAAACATTAAGCATTAATAGATCGAGTTTCATTCATTTTCGTTTAAGCTGCACTATGCGATCAATGCAGAAAGTAAAATACAAAAATATTTTCTTAAATAAAATATCAACTATACATATACATAATGGAGATATTTATATTTATAGATATGGAGATAAAAAGTTGTAAGCCTTTTTATTAACACATTCACAGAGAGCTTTAGGCGACTCCGACTCGGAATATAATTGAATGTGTTAATAATTCTTAATATATCCAAGCCGTAATCGATAATTGCAATTTTTACAGTTTATTTCACTTGATCGTAGCGTTTACCGTTCCCAAGTTTAATGGGTTGATATCTGAAACACCCTACACTTTAATTAAAAAAAACATTAATGATTTACTAGTGAAAGAATAATTTTCAATTTGCACCTGCAAAGTGGGTAGTTGTTCATAATTGTCTCTTGGCTACCAGATCCTATTCTCCGATTGCGGGGCCCGCATTACACCGACGCCACCACCTAACCTCCTATAATTCATTGCGCCACATAATCGCCACTGATTTTGTTCCGTATCGTACACCTCGATAGTTTTTAAATAAGCTGTACCATCAAATCCACCAACGGCGTATAATTGTCCATTTACTACAGCTAATCCCACCTAAATTCAAAAATAAATAAAAATTATTATTATGAAATATCTATTTGATTTTAACCCTTCGGTGAGCGCGTCTTATAGGATCATAGGAGTGCCAAGAGAAAAATGGCAAATTAACAAAAACAAAATGGAATAATAGAAAAATATGTCTTCTACCATTTGCTAAACATTTATTAATAACAAAACATTAAACATTTATTTTTGCAAAAACGTGTACCACATCAAAATGGAAAAAACCGACACAAAGTGTCGCTACGCGCTCGCCAGAGGTTTAATCAAACTTACCCCACTTCTTCGAGACGTCATCGCAACAATCGGGCTCCAACTATTTGTGAGTGGATTATATCTCTCCGCACTAGATAATTCCATGCAATCATCTCTGCCACCAACGGCGTATATTAAATTATTAAAAACAGCGCAACCCAAATGTTTTCTTCTCGTGGACATCGGCGTCACTTGAGCCCACTTATTAATTCTTGGATCGTATTTTTCCACTGTATTCAACGGCGATTGCCCATCTGAACCTCCAATCGCGTATAAATAACCACCGAGTACCGCAACTGCGACTCCTAAACGTCTCGTTGTCATTGGGGATACTTTGCTCCATTTATTTTCTTTTGGATCGTATCTAAAAATTAAATTTAATTTTATTGTGGAGGAGTTACTTACAGTGACTCCAAAAACTTTTCGCTCACCATGCGTATTCCCACTATTAGTTTGATAAAAATAAAGTAAATTACAATAGAAAAGAGTAATTATAAGAAACTAGCAAGAAAAAAATGTACTAACAATTTCACAATAACAATAAAAAATATAGATCAATTCACGTGCACATTTTGCACTATCATGCAAAATAGTTTGCATATTCTATATCCGTAAAGCTGGGCGAATTGTCAGAAAGAAACCAGAAAATTATTCGCTAAAACCTATAAAAATAGTAGAAATGAGTTCTGGGACAAAGTAATATTCACGGATGAGAGTAAGTTTAACATTTATAGATCCGACGGGCGACGATATATATCGCAATAATGTGGCAATGTAGGGTATCACTTCAGAAATGTACAAGAAATTATAACACCATAATGGCTAGATATGTAGATGTGCCGGTTGAAGAATCAAGACAAATTTTTCGCAAAAATTGAAGAAAGGAAATCATCACAATTCTTGAGATACCTCTGATCGTAGGCTAGTCCGTCACACCAGATGATATTTCATAGCTTCATAGTCGTTACGATCGATGTGATACCTCGAACGCATGAACAGAAACATGATGTTACAACAGTAGTTAATCAGATTTCAAAAGTGTTTGACAGAAAATAACTAATTGTGTTGGTATTGGTTTCTTTGTTGGCGCGATTCGTGGATAGTGATAAAAGTTGTTATTACCAAGGCTTGTGACTTCGCACAAATTCCTTTCCCATACCTCTTCATGACCAGTCGTATCTAGGAAACCAGTGGTGCAAATTTGTGCGTAAATAAATTCTCGGTTTTAGTTTCTGTCAGGGTTATATTTGGCATTGTGTTGTAGAATGTCAACGTAATGCACATTAGTATAGTAATTGAAATGTGCAACTATAAGAAAGCTTCGGCGTCTCATTGGAGCATTCAACATCTGCTGTTTACAACTGTAGAGAACGATCTACTGCAAAAAAATCAAATTAAAGAACAGCTTTGTTCCACGAAGTCGGCACTTCAGTTTTTAGAAAATGGCAAGGAAGCCCTGATCCAAACAACATGTTGGCCTACTCAATGCCTAATGATCCACTTTTAATTTCATGCAACGCTTGAGACTCCGTAATCGGTGTAGTCTTGGAACAACAAATTGATCATCCCACAATCATCCCTAGATCTTAGGTTGGGTGGCTCAGCGGTCAAACTCTCGGGTTGACACGAAGACGTTCGGGGTTCGAGCCACGGTGTAAACATTTTCACCAAACCGCCCACTCGTCCTTCAGAGGGGACGTTAAGCCGTCGGTCCCGACAACCAGTCGTTCACCTCTGGTTGTCGTTATCACCCATGTATGTAAGAGGTCTGACCACATGGCTGAATGCGCGTTAGCGCCCTTGATGCTACACCTCGTGGGAGCGTACCCGGACCAAGGGTTGATGATGAGCGGCACCTGACAGGGGCGAACCCGCACTGGGCCTGTGCACAAGCACGCCCGGTGAGCGGGGGGTCGGTCAGGAAGTGGAATCAGCCATCTCAGACCTCTTAGAGGAAGGATGTACCGTTGTACCCTAGGCCCGTTGGGGCCTAGGTGCCGCGTATAGAGTACACACTCCCCGTACCATACATACACAATCATCCCTAATTCCATAGTGTTTAGCAATATCATCCTTGTCTGGTATCCAATATAACGAGGAGTGTATCCCGATTTTAACCTACATTAATAATCGTCTTTCAAAATCACTATCTGTTCCATCATTAGCAGAGCAGCGACGTTGTCGGGCAACTCATTGGCGGCTCGTCGCCTTACGGTAGAGACTCGGGCCACATGGACCACATCACGCCACATATAGTATACCACGCCACTGGTTGAGTTTTAGTCGAACAATCGGCCAAACACGTATTGAATGCTGCACCGCAGAGAACCCTCCCAAATTTTACATGGGCCAGCATTCAACCAGTATCGTTACGTTGCGGCAAATCGATGTGCTCGATAGAAGCATGTTATAACACATTCGCTGCTCTATACAGATGGTGACATCAACAGCCCGAAACGTCGTGGCTCTGATCATTAGTGACCACCATTCGTCACACGGCACACTTCAAGTCGATAACCCAATTCTTTCTAAATGTTGATTAGTGTTTGTTGTGTAATTGTTGCAACAGCTGCCGCAATCCTGTTTCTTAGGTCGGGTAGGTGATGTTTAATGTGGATTCATTACTGAAAACAACATGATCCAGAAAATCGTCGTGCAACAACATTGGTCGCCCAGTACTCCCTTTACAAAAGCAGTCGGTATTTTCAAACTGAACTTAATTCGGAACGCACGTTGCACAGTAACTACAGATTCGGACTTTGCAAATGGCAGAACACAAAAAGCTTTCTGTTCTCTAGTCGCCATTTTGGTACTACCGCTTTTATAACGCATGCGCAGAGACGTTCTAGCGCATGCGCGTGCATACAAACAACTGTTTGGGTTGCTATCTCATTTCATATATTAATTATGAGTTTAAGTTTCATGTAATAAATACCACAAAGTGTTAAAACCCTGTTTTATAATAAATCTTTTCTATTGTAATTTATTTTATTTTTATTAAACTAACAGTGTGAATACGCATGGTGAGTGAATAGTTGTATACCATGGACTGTATTTTCTGTACCTTTCAACATGATTCAAACATTGCACCCCATCTTGTCCCCCAACAGCATACAACAAATTATCTAAAACAGCCACACCAACACTAGTACGACAAGAAGTTGTAGGTGCAACATCACAACACCACTGATCAGTTTGCGGATCATATCTTTCAATGCTATTAAGATAACTTTGCCCATCATGACCCCCAACAGCATATAATAAATCGTTTAAAACGGCGACTCCAACTCCACAACGTCGTTTACTCATTGGCGCGACCATTTTCCACTCCATCGTTTGTGGATCAAATTTTTCAACTGATGCTATTGCGTCGCCACTGCACCATCCGCCTACAGCGAATAAGACTTCTCCTCGTCGAGTTGGTTTGCGAGGTCTCGTTCGAGGTCCTTGCATTAACGGTCTTTCTTGCGGGAGAAGTAAATAATTTTTGGCTTCATCGACGAGATCGCGACATGATTCATCCGATCGAACTAACAAATCGGATCCTACGGTTCCCACTAAAAATTTGGGGGTTAAAAGTGGTAATCGGACGTGTTGGAGAACTTGAGGTAAGTGTTGGCGTCGTTCCGAAACGTTATATTTAACCCAAGACATTACCGCGTTAAAAACTTGCTCTTCTGTGCGAACATTCAATTCGTCGCTTGAAATAATATCGACTAATTGACTTACGGGTAATAATAAAAATTCTTCGCTTTCCATAACCTCTTGAAAGTTATGTTGAGTGAATTTATCGGCAATTCTTAATAATTCCCGGCATGAATGTGTGTCAGCAAAAGCCCTGATTCCCAAACAATTCGATGGATCTAATTGACGTTTTAAAAATTCGCAACAAATATCTTGAATTTCGGTTAATTGTAATAAACAAGCGGCGGGTAAAAGAGTTTGAACATTTGATTCTTCCACCACAATATGAGATGTATAACAAAAATCTATTAACAAATCCATCGCTACTTCATCGATATCTCGAATTGTTACTTCTGTTTGTCGTGATTCTGCTAATTCTCCTGTGAACATTGCTCGAAAATAGGGACTGCAAGCGCTTAATATTACCCGGTGAGCAAAAATCTTTCTCGTACCAACATTAAGGACGACATCGCAAAGTTCACGATGCCTCCTAAGTAACGTTAATTCGGTTAGGGTGTTTTTTGGATGTTTATCTGATGTGTGGGATAGACGAGCTGGGGATGGAGGCCGATCACCCACAGCCATATCCCCCATTCTACATGATCCGCGTAACTGAGAGGCCAGTTGTAGGCGTAAGGGCGGTGACGCCCAACCCCACACCGAGTCTATCTGCAAAATGAAACGTTTTTTATACCATCAAAACTTCAACATCAAATAACTTACCTTTACGTTGGATAAAATCAACAAAAAAATTAAATCACACTCTGCTAACACTGAAGTACTCGCCTTCCTTAAGCCAAAGTTTATTCACAACATAGGTAGTCACTTTTAGTATAATTAATAGGCGGAAAATGATATTTTTAAACGTGAAATGAAATTAGTACGTGTAGAATGTTAAAAAACGAGTTTCGAGGAGGATTTTTCTTTTATTGTACGTGTGTAGACAGTTGGTTATGAAAAGCAATAAAAACAGTGGAATAACAGAACGTCTGTCTGTCGAAAACTGAACTGTCAAATTAATTTCGGTTTAGGGGAATTTATTTATTTTATGTTTTGATGGTGGTGTTACGGTATTTATTAATATAATAAATAAGTTATTTGTTTAATATAATAATTAATAAATTTTTTTTTAATTTTTTGTGATACCTACAACAATTAAATTAATATTTGGTTAGTTTAAGTTAGGTTTGGTTAATTAGGTTGGTATTAGGTGTCAATAAAGGCGCGAAAATTTTAATTTAAATGTCAAGTATATATTTTGCTAATATTGAATGTAATATCAAATGGAAAAAAATATAATAATTCAAATAATATACAAAATAATAAATATATGCTATTTTCCACGTAATTTTATTTCATTAACACATTAGTATAATAAAATTATAAATAGTGTTAATAATTTGTACTTTATCATACCAAACTAACTTTTTTTATTGTTTCCTAATTAAGTTAAATACTTTACAGAATTAATTAAAAGTTTGTTACACTAAAAAGGAGAAAAAAATAAAAAATGTTACTCCTTGGGTTCTTGCACTTTCGATTCGTTTTCTTGCCTAAGTTTCTTCTTTGCCTTAATATCCGCCATGGTTTGTTCAATAGATCGGATGTCTTTTTTATTTTCACTAGGAACTAAGACAGTATATTAAAACTAGAATTAACACTTGCCCTATATATTATTAGATCTAAAAGATTCTAGAAACTTTGTAGTTTTAGATCTAGTGTTCAGTGCTAGGTTGTTGAATATCTTTGTTGTTTTTATTGAAGGAAAAGTAGAACTAACATTAGACCCAGAATCATTCGGGTTTAGCCATAAGTCTCTTAAGACGGTTCAACAAAAATATGAAGCAACCTGGCGCTGATTAATAACTGGAACTAGCACTAGCACTGTCACTACAACTAACATTAGATCTAGAACTAGAAACATTCGGGTTTAGCTGCACGTCTCTAAAGACGGCTAAACCTGAATGGTTCTAGGTCTAGTGTTAGCTCTAGTGACAGTGTTAGTGTAAAACTAGAACCAACACTAGAATGAGAAACATTCAGGTTTAGCCACACGTCTCTCAAGACGGCTAAACTCGAAATATTTTAGTTCTAGGTAGAGTGTTAGTTCTAGTAACAATGCTAATGTAAAACTAGAACTAATACTAAACCTAGAACTAGGAACGTTCGGGTTTAGCCGTCTTGAAAGACGAATGGCTAAACCCCAACATTCCTAGTTTTAGCTCTAGTGTGAGTTGCAATTTTAATTCAGGAATGTTTCAATTTTCTTTCAAATCTTTTCAAAGCCTTTATATTTATGTACTTGTATACAGAGTGGTTCTAAATTGATGCGAAAGATTTCAAGGGGTGATTTTTCAGCAAAAATTAAAGGGTTTCATATAGCTTTTTGTTCAAAACCCCTTCTCCTCCAAGTTATAGCCCTCTAAAGTTTCTCTCGACATTTTACAACTATCAAGTTGTTAGTTTGATCACAAAAAATGAAATAATGCCTAGATCAATTTGACATTACTTCATTTCTTTGACAAATAATAACCACTCTCTGAATTAATTCACTTGAGTCATGCTTGAGCCCCTGCATTATTTTATTTTTTTTGTGATGAAACTAGCAATTATAGGAGAAAATGTTAAGAGACAAAAAAGTTGTGTATTGAATCCCTCTATTTTAACCAAGTTTTTAAATAGAAAAATGTAGACGCATTAAAAAGTTGTGATGCAAAGTATTATAGGGGTTGATTTTTTCAGCCCCTTGTAATACCATTTTTGAGTTATAAAAATCGTCAAAGTGTCATTTTATTAGCAACAAGTATCTGCCAAATTTTATTCTTCTAAATTCTTCCATAGTGGACTTATTAAATAAAAACAATTTTTTCCCCTAACTTTAGAATGCTGTAACTTGGTGGGGAAGAAGCTTTGAACAAAATGTTATAAGAATCAATTTAGAAACACCTGTATATATTTGAAAAATTACCAAATCCATAAGTTTTATTTGTTTCTGTTTTCCTAGCCATTTCAATAGATGATATTTCCCCAATCAAATGAACATATTTGTCTTCATAGTTTGTATTGGGCACAAATTTCTTAGTCGGTTTTTTATTTAATTCTTCGGATTCCAATTGATCAAGTTTTCTCTTAAAAACATGTAACATTGCTTTCGACTCACTCAGCGATTAATTATAATACCTTCTCAATCATTTTTTTCTTGATGTCATCGTTCCAGGGATCACCCCGTTTTCTTGCCAACAATTCATCTTCACACGGGGGATTCGCTTTTCTATAAACCCGTACGTATCTATCAACGTCTTCGATTCCAAACGAAAAAGATATTAAATCTAACGATTCTGCCACTTCATGTCTATAACAATATATTTAAAATAATAAATAAAATGAATTATTTCATTTTTAATCTTACACAATGCTTCTGTATATTTGATTCATCGGTGTAAACTTCATGTTGATATTTTCATCATTTTCAAAAAATACTTTCATTTTTGTTTCGGTGTATTCTTTGAATTTACGTAAATTTTCCTTTTCAATCGCTTGTCTTCGATCCATTTCTTCTTTTCTTTCTGAGTGGTATTATTAGAGGTTGTTCAAAAAATAACGCATTTTTACTTACTTTTGATTATGTTTTTTTCTTTTTCACTTAAAGACGGCGGTTTATCCATTGAATTCATAATTGATCCTAACAAGTCCATGTTTTAATTAATTTGTGTAAATTTGTTTTAGTTGATTTTGGGATTTTATTAAATGACAATGACAATTAAATGACAGGTCCGTAAACAAAACGTTTGGAAATGTTCGTATATTACCTGTGGATACGTTCTGAAATTTGTTATAACTTTTTCATCCAAAATTCATTAAATAAAAACAAAATTATTTAATTTGTTAACGTTTTTTTAGTAATAAAATATTTTTGCATGTCTTCTAATTGATTCTAGTTTTAATTCAATAAGGGATAGATTCAAGAAAATTGAGAACGTTTTTAATTTTATATTTAAATATTTCTTTTCTTTCTGCTGAATTGGGAATAATAATAAGTATTGTAATAATATCTTTTTATTTTCACAATAAAATTTTTTTTTAATACCATATTTTTAAAGTTTAAACTTAATATAAGAAACAAAATTTGAGCATAATACAAGGATGTAAAAAGTAAAGAGACAAAAAGACTTCTTATTTAGTAACTGTATGCATGGCATGTGCTAAGTATTCCACATTCTTTGAAGTAACCCCCGCCATCGATATTCTACCATCTTTGGTTAAATATACACTAAAATCTTTAGTTATCTTCTCCACCTAAAAAAATTATGAATTAAAGTTAAAAAGTACACCGTTTATTAAACTTACTTGTTGTGGCTTCATTCCTGTGAAACAAAACATTCCAATTTGATCAGTAATGTGTTGCCAATTCAAACTAGATCCTTCCTTTTTCAAATTTTCCCTCAATTTAGCCCGTACAGAAATAATTCGATCAGCCATAACTTTCACTTCTTGAAGCCACTCAGCGCGTAATTCTTTGTCGCTCAAAATCTCAGTGACGATTCTCGCTCCATTCATGGGTGGATTAGAATACATCGGACGGACCAAAATTTTCAATTGAGACAAAACCTTATCCGCCTCATCCTTGGACGCGGTTGTAATAGTGAAAGCCCCAGCTCGTTCACCATATAAACCCATGTTTTTCGCGAAACTTTGCGCCAAACCAATTTGATGACCGTCTTTTACAAAGAGGCGAACAGCAAAAGCGTCCTTATCAATATTTCCAGAAGCAAAACCTTGATATGCCATGTCCAAATAGGGGAAAAGGTTGCGTTTTTTGATTAATTGGGATAATTCCGCCCATTGTTGTGGGTTTGGATCTACACCGGTTGGGTTGTGAGCACAGGCATGTAGAAGAATTATTGATTTTTCAGGAATTTTCTATAAAAAAAAATTATCAGATTAAAAGGATCAAAGTTACTGACCTAATACATAAAGATAACAATGATAAATCAGGTCTTAAGTTTTTGATAAAAAACAAACAATGAGTTAGCAAATTATAAATAATACTTACAGAAATATCATCCATAGCACCTTTAAAATCAAACCCACAGGTTTTTGGGTCATAAAATGTGTATGTTTTCACATCTAAACCGGAATGTTTAAAAATAGGAGTATGATTACCCCATGTGGGTATTGGAATATAAACCGTTTTATTTCCTGGGAAAAATGACTTCAAAAAAGCAGCTCCAATTCTTAAAGAACCCGTGCCAGATATCCCTTGTACAGTTGCATTTAAACCATTAGAAACCACAGGATTATTATCTCCAAGAGCCAAGTTAATACTATGTTTACAAAAATCAGCTGTTCCAGAAATTGGGAGATATTCTTTGTCTAAAGACTTTTCCAACAAACGTTTTTCTGCTTTTCTAACACAAGAAAGTACATAAGGTTTTCCATTATCATCACGATAGGCTCCAACACCTAAATTAACTTTTTTTGGATTTGTATCACGTTTAAATGCTTCAGTTACACCTAGAATAGCATCTGGTGGGCCCATTGCCACATTGGCCCAAAAAGAACTGCAAAGAGTTTTTTTTAATTAAAATGTTACATACTATATTATAATTAAATCGTTTTACTTACTTTGAGCGTTTGCATACTTGATTAAAAGTGTTGTATTTAATTAAACCGGCTTTAAAAGACATTTCCTTGCTGAGTAATTATCGAGTAAATGAGTTAACTGTTCACAAGGCAATAGGAACTTGACGAAACACAAGTGTCGTGTTGCAATAGGGGGGGTACGATCAATTTAGGTTTAATAAGTACTTGTATAAGGCTTAGTAAAGGTTATCTTAGTTGTTTTTTTCGTTATCAGCACATTGTCGCATATGTGGTAATCACGTTTTTAAATGCGGATCGTCTATATAATTTCTTATTAGTTTTTAATTTGAACGAAAACGTTATCTAAAGTACCATTCGATTTCTAGTTGAAAACTGGGATATTTTTCGTGTAACCTTGAAATTTAATATTGTGACCTCAAGGAATTCGGCGCCAACTTATTTACGTAAATTTTAAAAGTTCCATCCGATTTTAACGTAAATTTCCATTCTAACTGTTAATTTTCCATTCGCGATTCAATATCAGATATTTAATAATCATTTTGATTTATTAAATTTTGAATTTCGAAAAATTAACCTTATTGTTTCGTGTCAAATATTTAAACCCAATTCAAAGTTAACAAGTTTCATCAAGTGTATTGTAGCGAAGCTTTGGCGCCTTTTTTAAACAACAAATTTATAAATAAAGGAAATAATTGCTTTGTTCCAACAAGCGGTCGAACTCGTCCGTAATTCGTCAAATGCAATCGCACATGTCAATTAATGTCGTCACATTTCAGCGGATTTCATTGCATTATTTAACTGTGTGATTGCATTCGACGAGTCAAACCGCTACTTGGAACAAAGCACAATGTTCTCAAGTTTTATTTTCTTCTTTCCTTTCAGTACATACTTGTTTCCATGTTTCATATTGGGCATAATAAACAAATTTTCTTACAAAACGATATTTATTATTATTCACAATCTAAAAATTAATCAATACATTCGGCAGAAAGAAAAGAAATATTTGAACATAAAATTAAAAACGTCCTCTCGAAGGTCCTCCTCTAGGGGCGCCGCCTCGTGGTCCCGGCATACGGGGATTCCAATTGTTCTGTTTACCGCCAAACCCGCGATTACCCCTAAGGCCCCTAAATCCGCCCCTTCCGCGGAAAGCACCATCCGGGGGACCATTCCACCCGGGATTCTCTTGATACATCCCAAACGGTGGCGGAACATTCGGACGAAAATTTCTATTAAAATTAACCGGCGGAGGGGGTGGCATCTCCTGGTAACCTCTCCCAAATTTTTGCCCATTCCTCCAACCCCGATTATCCTCATAATAACCATCATAATCATCCTCTTTATTATAATCTTGATAATTATTATCATCCCGAAAACCTTGATTACAATAATCATCATCTTGATTTCCACCTTGATTAAAATTAACCGATCTGTGTTGATTTTGTTGGTTTTGTTGATTTTGTTGATTTTGGCGATAATCGACATCTTGCTGACGCATATCAATATCTTTATTTTCCCAATTTGAACCGTTATTTATATTATTATGACTTGTTTCGTTGCTTGTTTCATCATTATCATCGTCGTCGTCGTCATCTAAATACGCTTGATTGAGGTAATCATGCTCATCATCATGCGGCATGACATCATGAAGTTCTTCTATATCACCAGAATCAATGTAACGTTGTAATGCTTCGGGGCCTTCCGCAAAAGCTGCTTCTAATTTAGAACCCGCTAAAACAAAAATAATTAAAATAATAATAATTTTATTTAGTTTTATTTAACTTACGTTCAACGGGAATTAATTTTCCATAAATTATAATGGCATTTGGTGCAATTTTTTGTAACGGAACGACGCCGGGTGTATTTTCAACGATTTGGCTGATAACCTCGGTCAAATTCGATTCTTCCTCGCCCGTTTCGTTCCATTGAGCTTGGAAGTTTCTTGGAATTGGTTTACTGTAAGGAACCTTTTTTACTTTCACTTTATCGTCTGCGTTATTTCCTAACGGATCTAAATCTAATCCGGGAATCGTTGCGTTATCGTCGGGGAAAAGATTTACGTCGACTTTATCTTCTGGACCCATTCCTGGTATCACAGCCGGTTCATCAGCTAAAAAAATTAATACGTTTTCACGGATTATTAATTGAATAAAAAGTAGAGTTACCACTATAACTAGAATATAGTTCTAGGTGTAATGTTAGTTCTAATGATAGTGCAAGTGTTAATTCTAACAATTAGAACTAACACCAAAACTATTTATCACCTAATTAGACCTAGAACTAGAAACATTTATGTCTTTTTAGACGCACAGCTAAACTGGAATGTTTGTAGTTCTAGATCTAGTTTTATAAATGTTTTAAATTGAAGGGAGATTTAACATTATAAATATCCTTTTACCTATATCAACATCATCTAATCCAGCAATTCCAGCAGGTAAAGTGTTCAAATTATATTTATCTCTCATTAAATCGCCTGGTCGATTCCTTGTCCAAAATTTACTGGTATGATCATTCGAACCAGAACATAAAATGTGCCCAAGAGGATGCCAAGCTAAAGTCCACACGATACTATCATGAGCTTGCTCGATAGCTCCTACTTCTTTGTCGGCCCTATCGAATTAAATAATATAAATGAATCGGATTTTTTATTTCTTTTAATTATTACCCAACGTGCCAAAACATGATAGATCCATCTGAGCCACCACTACAGAATAAGCCTTCATGATGCGGGTGCCAAGCAACGCTGGAGGCTTCTTTTTTATGTCCTCGAAACGTTTGGATTTCTTGGCTAAGGTTGCGGAGGTCGAAAAGTTTTAATAAGTGATCTCTAGAGGCGGTTATTAACCAATTTCCGTTTTCGTTCCATTTTAAATCCATCACCGTTGATTTATGAGCGTGTCTAAAAAACAATACAAGTATTTTTTTTATTAATACGGTGATAAATCTGACCCAACCCAACCCAACATTAATATTAACAGAACAAATTTAGCGCCTCATTCGCAAGCAACCTCGTCGGAGTAAGGTGAAATACGAGATATATAAGAAACGATTTCGCCTCAAATCGCCGAGGTCGCTTACGGGCGAGGTACTAGAATCTTCCAAACCTGACGATTTCGTGTTGATACTTAAATCTGGCGCCTCACTCGCAAGCGACCTCGACTGAGTGAGAGTAAATGTCTTCTTATAAGAGACTTTGTATCTTTACCAAGATATATAAGAAGCGATCTCGCCTCAAATCGCCGAGGTCGCTTGCGGACGAGGCGCTAGAATCTTCCAAAGCTGACGATTTTGTCTTGATGTATTAAATCCAGCGCCTCGCCCGCAAGCGACCTCGGCGATTTGAGACGATATCGTTCCTTTCACATCTGTGTAAAGACATAAAGTCTCTTATAAGACGATATTTACCCTCAAACCGCCGAGGTCGCTTGCGGGCGAGGCGCTAGAATCTTCCAAAGCTGACGATTTTGTGTTGATGTATTAAATGTAGCGCCTCGCCCGCAAGCGACCTCGGCGATTTCAAGCGATATCGTTCCTTTAACATCTGTGTAAAGTCACAAAGTCTCTTAGAAGACGATATTTATCCCCAAACCGCCGAGGTCGCTTGCGGGCGAGGCGCTAGAATCTTCCAAAGCTGACGATTTTATGTTGATGTATTAAATGTAGCGCCTCGCCCGCAAGCGACTTCGGCGATTTCAAGCGATATCGTTCCTTTAACATCTGTGTAAAGTCACAAAGTCTCTTAGAAGACGATATTTATCCTCAAACCGCCGAGGTCGCTTGCGGGTGAGGCGCTAGAATCTTCCAAAACTGACGATTTTATGTTGATGTATTAAATGCAGCGCCTCGCCCGCAAGCGACCTCGGCGATTTCAAGCAATATCGTTCCTTTAACATCTGTGTAAAGTCACAAAGTCTCTTAGATGACGATATTTATTCTCAAATCGCCGAGGTCGCTTGCGGGCGAGGCGCTAGAATCTTCCAAAGCTGACGATTTTGTGTTGATGTTTAAATGCAGCACCTCGCCCGCAAGCGACCTCGGCGATTTCAAGCGATATCGTTCCTTTAACATCTGTGTAAAGTCACAAAGTCTCTTAGAAGACGATATTTATGGTCAAACCGCCGAGGTCGCTTGCGGGCGAGGCGTTAGGATCTTCCAAAGCTGACGATTTTGTGTTGATGTATTAAATGTAGCGCCTCGCCCGCAAGCGACCTCGGCGATATCGTTCCTTTAACATCTGTGTAAAGTCACAAAGTCTCTTAGAAGACGATATTTATCCTCAAAGCGTCGAGGTCGCTTGCGGGCGAGGCGCTAGAATCTTCCAAAGCTGACGATTTTATGTTGATGTATTAAATGTAGCGCCTCGCCCGCAAGCGACCTCGGCGATATCGTTCCTTTAACATCTGTGTAAAGTTACAGTCTCTTAGAAGACGATATTTATCCTCAAAGCGTCGAGGTCGCTTGCGGGCGAGGCGCTAGAATCTTCCAAAGCTGACGATTTTATCTTGATGTAGACAAAAGGGAGGTGGTAGAATCATTCAAAGCTGTTGATATATCAAATCCAATTAAACTTACAAAGTTGCTAAAGATTGTCCAGTTTTTGGATCCCATAACTTAATCGGTTGTTGATTATCTTTACTTCCAGATATGACTAAGGCTTTCTGCGGATGCCAGTGTACGCATTTTACATCGGCACCATGACCTAATATATATTATTAATTAATATTTCCAATATGAAATGAATAAAATATAATAATTTAACCCTCTAATACACAAATTAATTATAAATGATATGAATTGGAGGATTAAATAGAAATAAAATTAAACTTACCTCGTAAAACTTTTTCTTCTGTATAACGAAAAAAATCCCATATTCGAAGTGTTCCATCGTCTGAACAGGTGACGAATTTACTATCGGATGGGCTGAAGCTGTTTAGACAAAAAGATAAACAACAAATTTTCTATCAATCATTTTTATTTAAATACTCATCGCGATTATGGCACAATAATAAAGAAATGTTGGGAACAAAAAAATTATTTTCGCATTTATTTTCCATAAATTATAGAAAAACATAATCAAATAAAACAACTTGGTTTTTATTTTCCTTTATTTACATAGAAAAAATCCTCCTGTTTGTCTCACGTCGTTTGAAAATAAGGTAAAAATAAAAACAGTCTTCCAAATTTCCAACCAGACGATAAAATTACGTAAAAGTTACGTGGAATCGCCTAGAAAAAAATTTGGAACGACATTCCGTGTATTTCCTCTTTTTGCACGCAATTTATTATTTCAATTAATAAAAAAATCAACCTGTACATTGTACAAAACCAACTATTTTATTAATATTATTAATTATTACATTCTTAAAATGTCACAAATCTCCGGATTGAGAGAATAAATAAGTCGAAATTATTTATTTACTTTGGATCGCGTCTTTATTATCAATTAAATAGTTCTAACCGAATCGAAAATGAATCAATCAATCTTCGCAAGCAAAATTTTTACGTACATTGTTCGCAAGAGGATTAGGAAGGTGCCATTTATTAAGTATACTATTAGATATACAGTATCGAGTACATAGTGAAGTTGTAGTAGATACCTTATTCCACGAAGAGCCTCTTTATGCGCCTGGAACATCTTCACGTTGTTCATGTTTGACTGCCAGTACTTCACGTAACCGGCATGGTCTCCAGTCACCATCCAACTATCGTTATGCGACCAAACCATCGTTCTCACCGGACTATCATGTGCCTATAGATAAAACAAACAAAAATTAACTCAAATAAACAGTGGATCTAAATGTTATTAATAAACTTTAGGAGATTTCATCAACTTCAATGATAGATTTTAAATATTAAAAGATATGATACTAACTTGCAAAATTGTTTCAAAATTAAAAGTTAACCCATTCCAAAGTGTAAACTCCCCAGAACTCGCCCCTGTGACTAATCGACGTCCCTCCGGCGTCCAAGCCATACAAAATATGGGACACCGCATCTTATTGGTTGCTGTTTTAACAAATCTAGTTGTGACACAATTGATTGGATTGTCTGGATAACTCGGTGGTGGCATCATGTCGGGGTAATACATCACATCTGGTTGGAGAGCGCGTCTATCTCGATAATCTCTTTGCCAAACTCTCGTCTATAATAAAAGAATTAAATAAATTAATTATTTAATAAATTATTTCAATCATTACTTGTAATTCTTTAATAATAGACGAATTATAATCGACGGTTTTTCTCATAACAGATTTTCTTAATCGTTTCCCATCGAAATCCTCCAAAGTCATGTTTCCCAACGGTCCTGGTAACGGTCTATTTGCGCTTAAAAACGGTCTAAATTGTGGTCTAGAGTATCCTAAATCAAAAAAAAATATTTATTAATACACCAAAAGTAATCACTTATAACCTCAATTGAAATTTAAGTTTACCTTGGCCACCCATACCGGGTGGTGGAAGAGACATGTTAGGCATACCGTGGCCTTGCGGACTCGGCGCAAATTCCATACTTTAAATGTTTTATTAACCACTATTCTATATTTTTTTAGTAAAAACTTATAAACACTACCACTTTCATATTTACTACTGTCACCTTCAAACACACGACAGCTTCTCTTTTTTTCTTGCTTGTTGCACGCACAGAAATGTAATTACGGCACTGATTGGTTTATTAGAAATTGTAATAAATAGATATTTAAGGTGAAATATGTAATCTATTTGCGAATTTGATCCGAATTAATCTTATAAACGGTGTAAGTTTGTTGAGATTGGCGTGATGTAGTAAACTTCATTAAATTCAGTACGTTGAGTTTCTAATGCGCATGTGCGGATATAGATGGCTGTCATGTTGAAATTAAATTTTTGACTTCATTTTTAATTTTAATGAAATAATACTTTGATTTAAAATTTTTTCTTGTATAAAACATAATAATAATTATTTCTTTTAAAATTACTTTTTTATATTTCCAATTAATTCAATTAAAATTTTATAAATAAATAAATTTCATTTTTGTTGGTTGGTACTTATTTTGTGTTGCAAATCTAACCTCAAAATATATTTATAGTAATAAATAAATAATTTGAGATGTACAAAACGTAATATTTCTTTAATTAATTAATAACAATAAATGTAAATCATAAATGTTTTTTTTTAGCGAAATTGTATTAGAACTACCTGAAAAGAATTACTTGGAAATTATACATCAAGTTTTAAGAGTTGATAAAGAACCAAAAGCTACAGTTTCGAAATGTTTTAATTTAGAAGAAAATAAATTAACGATGTAAAGTTTTTAATATGAACATCAAATTTTTTTTACTAATATTGATTTTTTAGAACATTTGCGAGTGTTTCAATAAAAAGTTTACGAATAGCTGTCAATGGTTTTTTCGAAAATCTCAATTTAATAACAGAAACAATAAACAAATTTAATTAAGATGCCAGAACATGCTCCTGCTCCAACAGCCAGTCGGGCTGTTTACGGATTTGCTTTACTCCTAATGATGCAATTATTTAAAATAATTTATATAACATGGGCGGTTGTGCCATTGGAATGGTTTGAAAGTGTTGGAATTTCATGCTTACCTGATAAATATTGGGCAGTGGCTGTACCTCTGTTATTATTGACAGTTTTTGCATGCAGTTTCATCATATACTTTTCCTTAGGATTATTAATGACTCCCAATTGGAATGATGCAAATACCGTTAAAGATAAATTTTCTATTGATTGTAAATCAAACGATAATATAAGTCTGAATTTTTTATCTTGTCCTTGTAAAGTAGCAAATAATTGTAAAATTAATTTTTATAAAGGATGTAAAATCATTGAAAGTAATATTCCTATATTAAAAGAACTAGATGTTGTAGAGGTTTCTAAGGAATTGTATTGTAATAGTAATAAATAATAAAGGGGATTAGTTCTATAACATTTAATTTATTACTTTGTGAACAAATAAATCAAAAATTGATAAATAAATGTTTATTGAATCAATGCATAAACAAATACAAAACTGATTAAATTATGAATAGTTTCAAATCAAAAGTTCTGCCTTTTAAAGGCTTAGAAAATCAAATAAACTTAAATTTAACAAAATCAACATGTTCAATCAACGCGATTCATGTGAAACTTACAAATACAACAATATTATTATTAATTAAATATTTATTTCTTATCAATAGGATAAAATTGATAAATAAATATTTATTGAATCAATGCATAAACAAACAAATACGAAACTGACTAAATTATGAATAGTTTTACATCAAAATCAAAAATTCTGCCTTTTTAAAGGTTTAGAAAATCAAATAAACTTAAATTTAACAAAATCAACATGTTCAATCAACACAATTCATGTGAAACTTACAAATACAATAATATTATTATAAATTAAATATTTAATTCCTATCAATACCATTAATTTCTTCTCGACGTTCAAACGGGGAAGGTTTAGCTCGTAATTCTGGATGCTTTTCCAATATCGCTGGCAACTAAAATCCCAAAAAAAAATTTATAAAAACTTTAAATTATTAACGTTTTTATATCAACTAACCTTTTCTCGAGCCCATTTTTCAAAGTATTCCTCATCATTAAGTATTTTTTCTTTTGGTTTGAAATCAGATAAATAAATTGGTTTAGATAATAACTTTGGGGGATCATCAATAGCATAAGAAAAAGCACTTTTATACTCCCCATCTTTCAAACTTTTAACCATATAAACTCCTTCTAATTCGTAACCTAACTTCCTGTAATAATTCCTAGTTCCAACACCGGAAATAACGGCGATTTTAGTAGCTCTATGTTCGTGTATGGCGATTCTCTCCGCTTGCTCCATTAAAGTAAAACCAAGACCTTTATGTTGGAACTTTCCCAAATCCCGTTCGCTTACAGAAACAACGCTACCATAAACGTGTAACTCCCTAACAATTGACACGTTCCCTTTTAATTCCGGTCGGAAAACTCGATTACCACACCTTCTCAATCGACAAAAACCGATTAAAATATCTTGCTCGGGATCTTCGTAACTTAAAAAGCTTTCCCACCCTCCGTTAGCCGCATAATCACGACGAACAAATTCGATATGTTCCGGACGTTTCTTCTTGTGAATTTCGGTGATTCCAACCTCTCGGGTGCGAATATCGCGGCATTTCAGACCTAATTCTTCCATTCTAGCCAAAGCTAATTCCCTTAAATTTCCGTGTTCAACCCCCGAACTAACCAAAGGCATCGGAATATCACGCTGAACTCTATATACTCTTGTATATGCAGGAATTATGGATAAAATTTGTGCGATTAAATCCACTAAAACGGAAGGAGGGTAACTTTTATAACGACCAGTTTTCCAAAGTTCATAAAGACCAGTTCCACGAATTACTAAAGTTGGGTATATTTTAAGACCATCTGGTCTAAATTCATGACATACAAAAAGATCCTAAAACAAATAATGTTATTATTGGGATTAGCCATTCGTCTCTTAAGGGTCCATTCTGGTTAGTTAAATAAAAAAAATCGAAAAATATATTTTACGCTGGTTTTTTCTGCTCTCTCTAATATTTGTAAATGTAAAACATGTAATGGCTTAGGTTTTCAACTCAATATAAAATGTAATTGCGGAAACACTTTTATTTATTATTGTGAAAAGACTCTGTTGTCAACAATGTATTCGTGTCTGCAAGTGCAGTTATTACTTCTTTGAAGTAATCAAAAAAGCAGGTCGCCAGGAAAATGAAAAAAATAAAACAGGTGGAAATGAAGAAAATATTGTATCAGGAGATGGAACATAGAGCAAACGTGGTTTTTCTTCCCTCTTTGGTGTGGTAACTGTGATTGGACATTACACTAGTAAATTAAATGAAACAGAATATGAAACATGGTATAGAGAGGATAGTCTTGCAAACCACACAGAAAGTGCTAGAGTTATGGAAGTTCAAGGCTTGTTGGAAATATTTGCAAGAGCTGAAGAACTACACGGCGCGAAATATAAAAAGTATATTGGAGATGGCGTTACGAAAGCTCTATTGCAACAGGACGCAGAAGTAGAGAACAAAGAATGTTTAAACCATGTGCAAAAAAGGATGGGTTCTAGACTTCGTAACGCAAAAAAAAAACACAAAAACATAGGTGGATCAGAAAATTGACAGACAGATTGATAAATGTGGAAAAACATGGTTATCAATGTATGGGCTCAGATTCATGGTGTAAGTGGCAACAAGCTGAAGCGGCTGGAATTCTCTCGATCTCCAGGTACAGGAAGTAATTCGACCAATTTATAACGATTTGTCGTCGCATGACTTGCTGAATAATGAGAGCTTCAATAGAATTATTTGGCAATTTGTACCTAAACATGTTTTTTGCGGCTCCAATATTATCCAAATAGCAGCATTTTTAGCCACCTGTATTTTTAACGAGGGTTTCAACTTATTTTAAAAATTATGGAAACTATGGGCATCACTATCGGTCCATATGCAGACCTATTTTCCACCAATCGCGAAGCAGAGCTCATAAAAGATGCAGAACGACTAACAACATATCAATCTGTGGAGCAAAGAATGGCTCGATCTAACAAGAAATTGAATATGTTGCTCAATTTTTAAGAAACTGAAGCATTCACTTAAAATTTAAATTAACGAAAACATAACATAAAACTTTAAACGCATTTTCCTAACAAACATATTTTGGCTTAGCGGAAATAATAACACAATCTTAAATACAGGGGTGTTTCTAAATTGATGCGAAAGATGTTAAGGAGTGATTCTTCAGCAAAAATTCAAAGAGGTGTCACTTTTTCTTCAAAACCCCTTCTCCTCTAAGTTATAGCCCTCTAAAGTTAAGGGAAAAAATGCAATTTTTTTATCTCTTGACATTTTACAACTAACAAATTATTTGTTTGATCACAAAAAATAAAATAATGCTGAGATCAATTTGACATAACTTCATTTCTTTGACTAATAATAACCAATCTCTGAATTAATTCACTTGAGCCTGTATATTACTTTATTTTTTTGTGATGCAAGAAAATGTTAAGATACAAAAAAGTTGCGTATTGAATACCTCTATTTAAATCAAGTTTTTAAATAGAAAAATGTAAACTTATTGAAAAGTTCTGATACAAAGTATTATAGGGGTTGATTTTTTCAACCCCTTGTAATAAAATTTTCGGGTTATAAAAATCGTCGCATCAATTTAGAAACACCTGTATATCACGTCCGATATTTTTTAACATACTTAAAAATGTTTGATTTCTGGTATAGACTATTAAAGCAATGAATTATTTTTCTGCATAAAAAAGTTTTGAATGTTTTTAGTCAAAATTGAAAGTTATATTTGAAATGTCGCCATTTTGAAAGTTTTTATGCAAATTATTTTGTTCTAGTCTATTCCATAATTACGTTTATTCTTATCAGAAAAATCATATGGTTGATTATTTCAGATAAGTTTGAAGACCTAGAGAACTTCCGCCAATGAGTCAGTTAATAAAATTGATAAAATATAGTTTAAAGTGTAGTAAATACAATATATAATATTTGATTTTCCACGTTGTTTACACAAGAAAATAATAAACTTTGTCTAAAATTTGATTTAACAAAGCAGAATGGATCCTTAAGATGGCTAAACCTCAATGTTTCTAGTGTTAGTTCTAGATTTAGTACAAAAAAATACTAGTAGAATTAATGCTAGACCTAGATGATGATGCTTAATTACAACATACTTTAAATTGTCTCAGATCTCTTTCATAATCAACATTTGGTAAATTTGGCATCATATGAGCTACAATTTTAAAACCACAATCTTTAGCTAATTCAAATGTATCGCAAACTGCTTTAACAGTATGACCACGATTTGTATCTCGAGCAACATCTTCATAAACAGATTGAAGTCCTACAAAAAAATCAATCATTAAATTAATAAAATAAAATATTTCATAAAATTTAGTACCAATTTCTAAACGAGTACATCCATATCGTAACATATCAGACAAATGCTTTTCCAAGCAAAAATCAGGACGAGTTTCAATAGTAATCCCCACGCATTTCGAACTAGCTCTCTCTGAGTATTTAACGGCTTCTTCAACGGTACTACTTTTATGTCCTGATAAAGCATCATGCAAATTTATGATAAAATTATCGCGATAATCTTCTGGTAAACTCATAAATGTACCTCCCATTATGATAAATTCAACTTTATCAACTGAATGTCCAAGTTGTTTTAACTTAAAAATTAAAAAAGTAAAAAAAAGTAAAAAAAATTATGGTAAATAAAAACCTGTTCAATTCTATGTCTTGTTTGAAGATATGGATCATATCTTGCTCGAATCGCTCTCATGGAAGTTGGTTCATACCCAGTGTAACTCTGCGTTGAATATTCAAAGTCAGAGTCGGGTCCCCCAGGACAATAAACGCAAATATTCCCAGTGTAGTTAATATGTGGACATCGATGTGGCTTACACATTACGGCAACAACAGCAACTCCACTAGCTGTTCGAATCGGTTTTGCGAGGAGTTTAGGTACTAAAGCTTTGCGATGTTCATGGGGGACAGCTGCGATTATATCCACAAGACGGGGAGTCGTTGATAAGCAGTATTTTTGAGCAATCTTGCATTTTAATTGATTTAAATTAACCACTTGGTGCTCTTTATCCGCTTTTAGTAATGTTTGCACTATTTCAGCTACTGTTATTACTTTTTTCTCTTCGAGTGAGAGGTGAGAATATTCTGGAGTAATAAAAAAATTTTATTTATACTATTTATATATATATAAGTATTTTTAATTACCATCTTTTTTATTCTTCCCCATTACAACAATTTTTTTTTAATAATAATAATAAAACCACGTTTTTATTTAATTATCACACGTTAACGTCAAATTTTGCTGTTGACAGAAACAACAACGTGAAGTTAGGTGTAAAGCTTTGTCTATATTTATAAGTTCATCGTTTGTCCGCTTTAGTAATTGAGGGCGTTTGTAGCGTCCTCAGGAATGTTTTCTAATTTCTACTCAGTTAGCAAATGGCGTCTGGGTGGAAATGTACGTAAATTTTTCTTTAACGCGATGAATGAAAAGTTTCGTAGTTATTTTGTCATGTTAAATTTTGGTAAAACGATGCATCAGATCAGCAAGATACTTTTATAACTGAATAACGGACGCATTGGGTCTCACAACGACGCCATAAACGGTGTAAATCACCGAAGCAGATATTTCTTTTTCCAACAAATCCTCAAAGCAAACACAATGAATGAAGAGGTAGAGTTAAAAGTTCAAGAAGATCGGCAGATGTGGCCCCCGATGGATAATGTGCCGATATCGAATATTGTCCCAACACACACAAATATTGCCATATCACCAGCACCCCAAGGGGCCCCGATAAATCCAAACAATTTCGTTGAGTATGAATTACCTTTTGAATATGTCCAACAAGGTTGGAAAAAATTTTGGTCTAAACGAGAAAATCGACCCTACTTTTGGAATAAATTAACTGGGGAAAGTTTATGGGAAATGCCCCCTTTAAATAAGCCCCAATTTGATCCAATTACGGATCCTTTAGGGATTTGTCCACCGGTTGGTGCACATCCCGTTGCGATGCAAAGCCCTATTCCTGTTGCTAAACGACGACCTTCCGAAGAATTAGTAGGACCACAAGCAAAAAAGTTTGTGTTAGCCGGACCGTGGGATTTAGATGTACAGACTAATGTTGTGATAATTGAGAGACCTCCTTGTAATTATATGCATTCACATCCCGAAGTTGAAGCTTACAGGTGCAGTTTACTTTCAAAGTTGAGACAGTGTTATCAGGAACTATGTCATTCGAGGCAATCTATTGATGCACCAAAAGAATCTTTTAATAGGTGGCTAATGGAAAGAAAAGTATTGGATACCGGTAATTAATTAATTTTTATTTTACACATTACTTAAATAAATCATTATTATCAATTTAGGTTGTGATCCTTTATTGCCAAGTAATTGTTATCCAGAGATATCAATGTCAATGTACAAAGAGATAATGAACGACATCCCTATTAAATTAGTAAGACCGAAATTTACTGGAGACGCGCGAAAACAACTATCAAGATACGCAGAAGCAGCTAAATCAATCATGGAATCTCGAAATGCAGAAGCAGAAAGTAGAAAAGTGGTAAAATGGAATGTTGATGAAACGTTTCAATGGTTGAGGCGGACAGTTGGTGCTACATATGATGATTTTCAAGACAGGTTGGCACATTTAAAACAACAATGTCAACCACATCTAACAGAAACGGTAAAAATTTACTAAATTTTAATATTTTATAATAAAATGTAATGTATTATTAATTTTCTTGTAGGTAAAGGTTTCAGTTGAAGGGATTTGTTTGAAAATTTATAATTTATCAGCTGAGTATGCAAGAAAAGTGCGAGAAAAATCAAATATTATTTTAAAGGAACATGGATTAGAATTGCCCCCAGTCTTGCCAAATAATAGCACAAGGAAAGTTTGGTGTTATCCCATTCAATTTCAAATTGGATGTACCAGGTTACCTGTAATTGAGTATTTACCAGACAGAGATCAAGCCATGTTAAGATTTCAAGGGGATACATTGGTTATTAATGCAACTCACCTACAAAAAATGGTAATATACAGTGCTGTGCAAAATAATAGGTGTGACCTAAAAACAGTCTTTAAATGTATTTTAGTTGTAAAATATATGAGTAAAAAGTTAATAAGTAAAATTAGAACAAGTATAAGTTTGTTTCTCAAAACAAATATTATTTAATATTTGAAAACAAAAGAACACTTTAACGCCTGTGCAAAATAATAGGTGTATACATTAAATTAACAAAAATAATTTGGTTTTACTGAAAAATAAAAGAAAAACGGTATAATACAACATTTAAAATTAATATTTTGTTTGTTATCCGTTTATTATTACTCTTTTTACATCTCCACATAGATGCTTGATTGGATTAAGGTCAGGAGATTGAGCTGACCATGGCAACATATCGATTTTCTTTTCAATAAACCAAGTCTTTGCTGCCCTGGAAGTGTGTTTGGGGTCGTTGTCTTGCTGAAACTTGCACAGCAGAGTCATATTGTTATAAGTGTAGGGTGTTGATGTAGCCATATTGATTTAAAATGCCTGTATCCAAAAAATTCGGCCAACTCCATACCAGGAAAAGCACCCCCAAATCGTTATGCTTCTCCCACCATATTTTATTGTTTTGCTGATGTACCTAGAATTAATTTCTTTTTCTGGAGGACGCTTTACGTCTATCTGATGCGAATAATTTTATTTTCCTTTTGTTGCTCCACAATATGTTTTTTGTCGGCTACTTTTCCATGGTTGCGTGCAAATTGTAACCTTCTCTATACGTTCTTTTTTGACAATAATGAAACTCTTCGTGAGCTCCTATCAGGCAAATTCTTCTCTAAAAGTCATCTTCTAATAGTCGATGTGTGGATATAATATATAATTTTTGACGTATCAAGAAGGTCTTACTTGGAGGAGTAAAATGAGAAGTCACGTTTATACACTGTAATTTTTTTAAGTTATTTTTTGGCGGGAGTTTTAAAACCAGAGAAGATTTTAAGTAAGCTCTAGTTGCGAATTTAATTACTTATTTGTTTAAACATAATAAAAACCAGGGCGCACCTACTTACTTTATTAAAACAATATACAATAATCTAGCGCTGAATAACAAATAAAACTGGACTAATACTAGCACTATAATTAACACTAGACATAGAATTAGAAACATTCCGTTTAGCTGTACCTCTCTTAAGACGGCCGGTAGATGTTAGGTAGCGCTAGTTAAAGTTTCTAGTTCTCGGTCTAGTGTTAGTTCTAGTTTTACACTCGTACTATCTCTAGATTAACACAAGAACTAGAATCATTCGGGTTTAGCCGCACGTCTCTCAAGACGGCTAAACCCGAATGTTTCTAGTTCTCGGTCTAGTGTTAATTCTAGTGGCAGTGGTAGGTAGCGTTAGTTAGTATAAGATATTACTATGTTGTATATTTTTGTTGAACTATCTGAATATCGTCTTGTGCTAGGTCTAGTGTTAGTTCTACTTTTATACTAGCACTATCACTAGAACTAGCACAAGACGATATTCACGATACGTTTTGCCCTATTTACGCAGTTTTATAATATTTTCTTTTCGCTACAATGTTTTGCTCTTTCCATTATATCGCTAAATGGTACATTTTAAATTTCATAATAATCTAGAATTATACTATTATTCCTAACTTACCCATAAACTATAAAAACTTTCAGAAATTACAACCTATATTGAATTTTAACTTTAAAAAATATACCTCCTATTTTTTTGCACAATTCAAATTTGACAGTTCGTTATTAATTTTATCTTTCAAACTCAAAAGAGGCAATTAGAAGTAAGAGAACAGAATTAAAGTGAACGGATACAATATCAAGTTTGGTTACTCTTTAAGAGAAGTTGCCCAAAAAAAGTTTAGTTTGAGGGACAAAACATTTTGTGTTAAAAATTGAAATAATTTGTGAATTAATTTAAATTTATTAAAACTTAATTTGATTCTTTTTTTAGGAACATTTATATCGACACAGTTGTTTCGACGACAGAAAATTCGAATTATTCATCCCGAGAGTTTGGGTCGTCTTGAAACGTTACGCAACATTTCTTGGTGTAAATCCATCATCAGCGGTCGCAAGCAACGACGTTCACGACACCCAAGCATCCCTTCCGGTTACCGTTTTCGAATGTTTGCACCGGATGTTCGCCGTTTCTTTCGAATGTTTCGCTTCACCTTTAAACTGTTATTTTAAACAGTATTGTTCGGCGTTTGCCGATTGTGACTCTTATTTCGGAAGTAGAGGGTAAAGATTAAATCAAATTCGGTATGTTGATGCTAAAAGCTTTTTTTTTAGACTCTTTTTGCATTTAAAAGCAGTTTCCGGTTCGTTTGAAGCGCACCCACCTTATTGTGAGGAATTATTAGAAGCCACCATCGATCATATGGAACGGTTATTGTCGGAGAGTCATGAACCACTTAGTTTTGTTATTATTCTTCCGGATTATAGAGAACCCACACCTACAGGGCTTCAAAGAGCGGAGGAGAGTCAGTTTAAAAGGAAACAAGTTACTATACCAGCTTATGAACATGAATTTAGGCATGGTTTACAACATGTTCTGAATAGGTATTTATTAAGTCAATTATATGGACATTAATTAATTAAATTAATTATGTTTATAGATCTGAATTAAATATAAGATCAACTCATGGAACTGTAATAATCTGGTTACAAAATCAAGCCGGTTTTAGTCGATGGGGTCCAACTGAAGATAGAGTTGAAGCGTTGTTAGAGGCTTTTAGGCCGGGGAGAGAAAGGGAACGTGACCGACAAGAATTGCTTAGTCCAACGCGGCAAGGTTCAACATCGGATAATAAGGACGTTTTAGTGCATTAGCTTTCAATGTATTTTAATTTTTATTACTTTTAATTTAACAGTAATTTTTTGGCTACATCTTAAATTTTGCTATTGCTCATTGAAGCGTTTAATTTTTACTTTTTTTTATGCTACATGCTAACGTCCTTTACACATCACCCTCTTTTTATACATATTTTTTTATTTTTTATGACGTACCTGAATTCTTTTCTCGAGAATCGAAGTTTGCAAAGGTTTTATGATGAAATATCGGGATTGCTGTGCAAAGCCTATATTTGCAATTTAGACGTATTTTAATTATTATTTATATTAACGAAAAAAAAAATTAAATAAATCGAGAAGTTATCATTTGTACATAGTCATAGTCTATATATATGTATACAAAGAAAGAGAAATTTTATTTAGGAAATTCTATATTTAAGAAAAAGATTGTAATATAGCTTTTGTTAGTAACTTTTATTTTATACTAATAATGTAGATTTTTACTGTTATGAATATAGGTTTTTCTCCTGATGTTACAATATATATTATTTATTAATATATTTGTAAACAGCTAATAAAAAGAATCATTTCACATATTGCACTGTTTCAAATCAACTTTTTTATTACTCTCTATTTGGTAACGTTTATCTAGAAATGATTTGGATATGATGATAAAAGTCGATATTTGAATTATCAATTAAATAAAGTTACCGACCATTTTATCTAGAGGAAAGGTGAAGTTGTTAGTCAATAGATGGCGCTACAATCACTATTAAAAGTATTAAAGTAGGATATCACATTATATTAGTTTAATCAAGAATTCTCTTTCATAATTTGCATCAAATATAATAAAAATTCATAGGCATATGTTGTGTTTTTATTATTTGAGCTATCCTTGCTTTTAAGTATTTTTATTTGAGCTATCCGTTAAATAAAGTTACCAACCAATTCATCTCAAAGAAAGGTTAACGTTGTTAATCAATAGATGGCGCTATTAGGACTACTATTGACATATTAATTTAATCAAGAATTGTGTAAAGAATGGAAACCCCGAAAAAAGAGTTCCTGGCCCTCTAGGATGGGCGTTGAGCAACAACTCTTTCTCGGAAAAGAGCGATGGTTACGAAAGTTCAAGGAAAGGTTACTGGCCTGGAATCTAGACGACGATAGCAGGGATGTACCGTCTAAACAGTTTTTGGAACCCGCAAGAGAGGCAGGTCTAGAACCAGATATAAGAACCAGGTGGAAGAAAGTCTAAAAATACTTGGAGTTAGAAACTGGAAGGGCACAAGATAAAAGAGGGTGGAAGCTGATCCTAGAACAGGCCAAGACCCACAAGTGGTTGTGGTGCCAATGATGGTGATGAATCAAGAATTGTCTTTCATAATTTTCAGTAAATATATTAGCAAACTCATAGGCATACATTATGCTTTTATGATATACGTTTAGCTATCTATATGTTATAAATAAAATTGCTAACCAATGGTATGATTCCCCTTCGTACTGTTCATCATAGAATTCTCCCTTCCAGCTAAAATATGTCTATGACAGGCAGTACTCTACTAGTCTTGGAACATATTTCGGCAATCCCTCCGGAATGAGTTTCTGGCGAAGACCATCCACGGCAACCTTGACTGGTATCCTGGGGATCTAACTTCATACTCCTGATTGATTCTACAACATGTGTAGAATCTCTGACATATGATTCTGTTCTATCTATAAAAGGAGACAGAATCTTGGCGGCGAGGTGTTTTGTTAGCTGATAGGTTGGAGAATTTATGGTACTGACAATAGGACGTAGAGGAACATTTGGTTTATGGATCGTAGGTAACCCATATATTCGTATAAACGTATAAACTTCTCTGTTATTGTGTCGGGATTCCTGTAGATTTTACCAATTGGAGAATTGGTCGCAACATGGCATCCAAAACGTAACATTATTTCAAAAAACGCACTGCTTGGTCCGAAAATTTTTAGGTCTACTCATAGTGCTAGTACTAGTTGATACCACATTATACAGAATGATTCTCGACCTATATGCATAAACTTGAGGATTCCTCATGACTAATAAAAATAACTGTCTTAAGAGACAAATGGCTAAACTCGAATGTTTCTAGTTAATTCTAGTTATAGTTCAATTAACATCGACCGTGAGAGCCTTGGTACTCAAAGTTAAAACCTGCTTCTTAGGGAGTATTGGGAATCAACATGGAACATTTTTCAAAGACGTAACAAGAGAACCTACAAATTTGTAGTTAAATATTTATGTTGTAACTGATTTGTATTAGGATGAATTAATGAAACTCTAAAATTATAATGCAATTATATTTTTTATTGGTTATTCTTACATCGAATAGAAGGAATACAATATAATAAGTTATTGCCGATACGTCCGCGACGACGGCTCAGACTTAGAAAATACAGTACGATACGTTTTCCTTTTTTTTAATGACGAACAGAGAAGAAAATATATATATAATAATAATTAAAGCGAAATAATGAAAAATCACGATTACAACAATTCTCGATACTTTCAAAAACGACGTTCGTGTTTTAATATTTTAACTTATTTTACATTTAACAATTATGATTCGATAACAAAAATCGACGAGCGGAACGGTCAAAACTCTAAAAACTAAGCCGCTACGAGGTTCGCTTATTATAGAGAAAGGTGGAGCCGCGGTTGCAGTACAAAATATTGCGAGGGCCAACCGCCCTAGGCACTGCATTGAGGTAATTAATAATTATCAGAATACACGTACAAATACAATATTAATCTATACCAGTCTTATCACAGAAAAGAAAGAAAAAATGTTCATTAGGGGATTAATTATTGAGAAATCTTAATTCTTCTTGTTGGCGTAATGTATAACCGAACTGTATCTTACGGGGGGCGTTTCTTTTTCGGATTCCATCGATTTTAAAATCATTCTTGAACGTTTCCTGGGGGGTAAACTTAATTCTGGGTCGGGAGAAACCGATGGTGCCGGAGAAACGGGGTTTGAACTTGGTGGAGTTAAAGCCAACATAGATTCCTCTTCGATCTCAGCTACGGCCAGCGCCGCTTCAACTCGCTTTCTAATATCATCGGCGTGATTTAATTGGGGGTCATACTGAATTGGTGGTGGAAAATACGGTCTAATTACTTCCGGCGGAGATCTTCTTAAGTATTCTTCGTGCACTCTTTCAGTGACGGTTGCGGCAGCCGCTAAAAGGTCGACTCCGGAAGATGGGTGATTAGGGAAATACGGAGTAGGGATTCTATCACGGGTATAAAGATAATATCGAATATCGCTATCGTAACTAATTGGTTCTTGAGGAAACGTCTGATGAGGCGGAGAATCCTTATTTTCTTTATCACTCGACGACGAACAGGAAGATTCGTTAGACTGAATTGAAGACGGCGGTGAAATTGGGGCCGCATTTTCAGAGTGACTTTTAATATGCGCCTCCATACACTTTTTCGAGTTGAATGTGTCGTTACATATTGTGCACTTGTAAACTTTTTCGCCGTAATGAGCCACTTGATGCAGTTTTAATACGTGGTTATAACCAAAAGATTTTCCGCAGATCTCGCAAGAATACGGTTTCTCCCCGGTGTGAGTTCTCGAATGAACTTTTAATTGTTTACTACATGTGAAGCCTTTTTGGCAAACCCCGCAAACGTAGGGTTTTTCACCGGTGTGCGTTCTCATATGGATCACTAATTGACCAGATTGGATAAATGTTTTCGCACAAACCGAACATTTATGTGGACGCTCCCCAGTGTGGATTCTCATGTGTCGGTGTAATTTCCCGGAGTGTTCAAAAGCGCGCGAGCAAACGTCGCATTTATACGGACGTTCTTTCGTGTGGATTCTTCTATGCACGCTTAAATTTTCTTTCACACTAAAGCTTTTATCGCAGAATTCGCAGCGAAAAGGTTTTTCACCAGTGTGCGTTCTGTAATGTCTCGTTAATCGGGCGGGAACCGCGAAAGTCTTTGAGCAAATATTACAACGATAAGGATCGTCCGATTCGAGTTTTTGAAGCTTTTGAGGTGTTGTTGGAAAAATCGGCGGGGTTTGGAATCCATTACACTCCATCTGTTGGGGTTCTTGTTTGGGGGTTGCGGTGTTTTGGAAGTTGCTCATTGGCAAATCCGGGCTGCAAACAACTCGCTTTATCGCCGCTATCCTAGCCTCTTCCGGAGTTTGAACCGGCGCCATTGGAAGCGGGGTTGCTTCGCTGTAATAACCTACCATCGTTGGATTTTGATTTGACCAAAAAATATCTGCAAATAAAAAAAAATTTATTAAATAAAATCGAATTAATTGAATTGGTGAAGATTAGAGGAAATGAAACGAACCGTTTTGATCTGGTTTGCATTTAAGCAAGAGTGTTTTAATTAAGTTTTCATCCATTCTTGGGTTTTAATCAATTTGGAAGTGTGATGTTAACTCACTAAAATGCAATTGAAGAATGCAGGAGATGTCAAGTGAAGATACAGTGAAGGTGCGTTTTGTAACTCCGCCTTCTGCGTGTGCAGGAATTGGTGGGGGGAAAGTTGGGTCGGTTTTTGACCCCAACAAAAAAAAATCCCCACCATTTTCACTACACCAACATTTACCATTTTTTTTGAATAACTCAAAAAATAATACAATAGAAATTATATAAACTCTCTACTATTGAGCTTTTATGTTATATGTATATATATATATAATCAATAGGAAGTTTATATATATATATATATATGTGTGTATAGAGAGTTTATATATGTATATATATATAATATATAAACTCTCTATACTCAATTTATTATATATATATAAACTAATTTGACATGAAATTGATTGATATATATGTGTATAGGTCAAGAGATTGTTCTGATTTTGATTTTATAGAAATATTCGCAATTCAAACATGACCATACGTAATCTATAGATAAGTATAAAACCGTCCAAAATTGATTCGGTTGTTACTATTTATAAAGTCGTGGCGGTTTAATGAAAATATAATTGTTAACTGGAGTGCGCCACGGGTTCGTATGGAGGCGAATAACCGTGGATTTTGCTTAGGACTCGTGGCCCCCCAACTAAAACGTTGGGAACGTACACGAGCTGTCCCCACGGTTAGTCGCCTCCACGTGGAGTTTAGGTGCCGCTTTTTTCAGAACGATGCCGACCTCGTCAACCCAGAGAAACGTAGGTCGGCATTTCTATTTCCCCACCGCCATTTTTTACATCCATTTTTAAGTTATTACCCCCCAAAAAAAAATTGAAAAAAATCATTTCCCCCCAAACGATCTTAATTAGTCTTAATCGAAACAAAAATTTTTAATAAAAACGTGTTTTTTTGGTTTCATAAATTGATTTTTAGATAACAATTTATGCAATAAATCGATGTAAACAAAATAATAATAATAATAACTTACCCAATAAATTGATTCGAAGTAATCGATTAATAAGTATCTTCTTATTCCTTAAATTCTTTGCTTCTAAATGAAATTGACACGGAAAACATTTAAACTATCGTTTTCATGTTAAGAATTTTATTTATTTTCTTAGATGAAAACGTGTTTTTGTGTTTATTATAATCGCGAGGAAGAGTAGAAATTTCGGACTATGCTAAGCGCGATCCAAAATCAAACTAAATGTTTACCTCCTACACGGTCGGCTCTTAACGCCGCCGGCCGACGACAAACGAACGCTTTCCCTCACACTACACGAAGACCCGTGTGCCGAAAAGGCACGTGGAGGCCACCAACCGTGGATTTTCGTTTGGCCCGTTTGTCCCCGGGATTGTGTTTATCTATTTTCGCACAGCTTTTTCGTAATCTACAAAAAATATTGTTATTAATTGATTACTTATTATGGAGGTGTTATCGAATCATATCTCCAAATTTGTGCATTTAGAGTAAATTATGAGTGTAAATAATAAAAAAATATTGATTAAAATTATTTGTTTTTAACAAATAAACCCAAATAAATTTTTTTTTGACTTTTCAAAAATGAAATGTCAATGTGACATAACGTGTTCTTAAAACATGACATAACTAATTTCCCTAGTAATGTTACCAACTGTAATTAGTACAAAAAATTCTAAGTTTATGTGTTTAAGTCCTTAATAAAATTGTGATTTTTTTACTTTACAATAAAACTTCCAAGTTTTTACCAAACTAAAAACTTAAATAAGTATAATTAAATTGCCACTTTCATTCTGGATGACAATAAGGGCCAATCAGAGCATCTCACGTATTGCAGCAAGTATGCTCTTCTTCTTCACAATGATAAGGCTTCACAATTTGAAAACTTGTCCTTATTACTTCCCAGTCATTGCGTTTAAATTGCGTATTGTTAGGCTAGTGCGTTGTTTCTATTTACTATACTAAAAGGCAATCAACCAAAACAAAAGCCCCGCGTATCGATTCTCTATGCATAGATACAAAAATATTGCGATATTCTACATATCTATCAAGCAACTATTGAACCAAAGCATTTGAAATGTAGCAATGATTAAAAAATAAAATAAAAGCGGCAAGTATGCTCAATGACTCTTTAAAAATGAAATGTCAATGTGACATAATCTGTTTTCAAAACATGACATAACTAATTTCCCTGGTAATGTTACCAACTGTAATTAGTACAAAAAATTCTAAGTATATCTATTTAAGTCCTTAATAAAATTGTGATTTTTATTGAAATGAAATTTCCAAGCTTTTACCAAAGTTTGTTTGAATCTTGTAACTTAAATAAGTACGATTAAATTGCCACCTTCATTCTGGATGACAATAAGGGCTAATTAGAGCACTTCACGTAATGCAGCAAATATGCTCCATGACTCCTTAAAAATGAAATGTCAATGTGACATAACCTGTTTTCAAAATATGACATAACAAATTTCTCTGGTAATGCTACCAACTGTAATTTGTACAAAAAATACTAAGTTTATGTGTTTAAGTCCTTAATAAAATTGTGATTTTTTACTTTACAATAAAACTTTCAAGCTTTTACCAAAGTTTGCTTGAATCTTTTAACTTAAATAAGTATAATTAAATTGCCACCTTCATTCTGGATGACAATGAGGGCTAAAATCAGATGACATAACAAATTTTCCTGATAATGTTACCAACTGTAATTTGTATAAAAATACTAAGTATTGTGTTACGATCTTGTTGTGTGGGTTGTCCAAATCCAGCATAATTCCTGCCCAAAAGCCACCACTTTTTGCAAGTCGACATGACAGGAAACGAATGAACCTCGTTTCTCATCTTTTGTGAGCAAATGTCCTGCAGCTAGATTGCAAGCTGTTTTCCTTAACTTTCGTCGAATAGAGGAAACGCAAAAAATTTTTAGAAGGTTGCTTTAAAACGCAGTAACGTATTTGCTCCTTACTCTCAAAGCACAAGGAATGATCTCAAAGTAGAGTCTCTTTTTAAAAATGGTGGATGACTGAAATTCAACACCAAAGAGCAATAAAATAAAATAATTCTTTATTAAAATTTGAAGCTTAATCCTAAAAAGTTTGAGAAACAGATTCCCCTTTACATCTCTTTACACGTGTAAATAGAAAATCCACGGTGAGGAGCCGCTGTGCGTCCAAGTTTTTTGGAGGCCAATGTACCTCATACTAACCGATCCCCACCACCACACACCACAGGGTTCAAACTAAAAAGAGAGAATAAAAAAAAAAGAAAAACAATCCTCTATGGCGACAACGGATTGTTTTTTTTGATCGCCAAAATCAATTTGCAACGAAAACAACTCGAAATCGATGTGATTATGTGCAAATATCGGGCGGTAAGCGTTTTATTGGCGGCGATTTTGGCCGATTTTCGCTTGGTTAGAAAGAGAAAGTCGACGCCGCCGCGCCGAACTCTCCCGAATAGACTCGGCGGCAACGTTCGACTGTCACGGCCACCTTGACCAATCTCAACGTTAAGTTGTTTTAGCTGTCCCAGGCAACCGGATCAACTTTGAAAATTGAGCAATACTATTGCGTAGAAATATTGAGTACTATGTTCGTACTCGGTAAGGTATACTTTACCTTTAATTTATTTATTAAAAAAAAATTCGATTTAATATCTTTGCGCGCGCATCTTTTAGACGGGCGAGGCATTTTTTGTACAGCAATTTTGGTAGTGCCAAAGGACTTTAGGTCGATGAACCCACACGTGGTGTGGACGCCCCATATTATAAACCCCTACTTATTTCAGTTACCTTTTACCCTAATGTTTTATAAAATCCCCTCTTAAATTTTCGAAAACTATTAATATATCGACATTTCTTTTTTTAAATTACTAGGTTATTACTAGCAATGTTAATTATAAGTCCTGGAATGGAATGACGTTCTTTTTTAAGTAACTTCATGCGATAAAGCCGAGGCGCCACGATATGATATTAATCACTAAGTCGAGGCTTAATAATTAACGTTATACGAACATGAAATTGGTCATATGTAACCTTGAATTAATTAGTCAAAAAGATCTACAACTATAATTGATAGAAGGGCTGCCTCTAGATGTTTTTATCATGGAGGTGGCTGTGATGGCGTTGTTTCGATCGCGATCAGTGGATAATAAGCAGGTTGTAAAAATGGGAATAGTCTGGAGTGAAGGTGTTCCTAAACAATCCCTTGAAGCTTGCACAGACTACATCACACCTACTTTCCTAAAAAGGCCACAATTTGGCATTGAGATGATACCCCAGAGTAACTTTAGCACTGATGGATCAAAGAAGGCTGGAGGCTCTGAAGTCGGAATCTTCTCGTACGATCTCCTAAATATAGCAGCTAATATGATCATCGACTCCAAAAAAATTAGCAGAAACGTTGTAATCTGCATTGATAGCAGACAGGTTATACTAGTAATGCTTTAGTAAGTATCGAACTACATCATCGTTAGTGCAGTCCTGTTACTTTCAATTGCTTTCTTTTCTAAAAAATTATCACCTAGCCAAACTCGCTATATATTCTGCAATAAAATTTTCTAAACATTTCTTCTGGGTAATAAATTTACTGTTTATACCGATTACAAACCTTTGGTCAATTCTTTTACTTCACAATCTGAAAAGACACCACGACAGACTCGATATCTACATTTCATCACTCAATATACTTCTGACAGATTTATAAAAGGTGAGAGAATCAATATTGACTACCTTGATTTTTCTTATCCTGATTTAAAAGCAATTGGAGATGCTCAATCAAAAGATCTTTTAATACATCCATTGTTGCCAGAGGAAGCAGAAACAGGTGGAACAACGATCTCCCGATGATTTTATTGGGACTCAGATCCTCTCTCAAAGAGGATCTGGGATGTTGTTCCGCTGAACTGGTTTATGGTCAGCCTCTGCGTTTACTTGGAGAATTTTTTGTTAATAAAAATCGACTATTAAAAATGTTGTCATTTCATGCAACAACAAAGAAATGACTGTTCTTTGATGGCTTACAATCACCATTTTTGCTAAAAATCCTTAATGAATTTGTTATCGATAGTTTAAAATACTTTCATTATTGGCTAACAAGCCGCTTCTAAATTTTGCTTTCAAATCCCTAAATATTTTGTTACATTATTAGACTTGTTTTTGTAAAAAACTTATTTTCGATTTAAAGCAACAAATAGCGATCGAGATTAATTTATAATATTTAAAAATGAATGCGAATTGTTTTGAACAAATTTTGAATCATTTTAACTCCACGTGTAATGTTGCTATATTAAAATGGTATACTACATTCGATAATATTAATAAACTTAAGCACGCGTGGTGATAATAATAGGTACACTCCGTAAACTGTTAAATCGCCACGAACTGTCGTAATCGGTTTATGTTGTTGATATTCAAACCCATAACAAAAACCACGACCGCATTATCTTATCTCTCTTTAGAACGTGTGTCGCTTCATTCAACTCAAGAACAACAAAACATTCCAAATTTAACTTTAGTAAAACGCAATATTATTCTACAAGTTATTAAATAATCGCACGTGCGATGGTCAGTGGTCGAGTAAATTGCACGATTACATTTTTATTTTACGTAATTCCTTCTTTTTATGCATTAAAGGTCAACCTGTTTACAATTGACTTCGATTATGTTATTAATATTCCCCCTTTATTTTTATCAAACAGTTTGATTTTGCGACTTCGATTTCGCTGCGTAAATTTTGTTAAACGGCACGTGGCTTTATAGTCTCTGGAGGCCAGGTAAACAGAATAATAACCTAACCGTGTAAGTACTCCGAGCGTGACAATAGATCATTAAATAAATTCTAGTGTGTAGTTGACTTTGAGATTTGTAATTTTTTATTTTAATTATTTGCAACAAAGTTATCTGCTTAATTCTATATATAGTAATAACCTAAAATATTAAATTACACATGATTCTTTATTACAATTCCTAGAAAGCGTGGAAATATTTACATTCGCCGTGCAAAACATTTCTCTACGACCTCGCCCAAAAAATTAATCAGCTCATGTATGTGTATTTTGAATATACACATGTTTGGCGATTATCGCACGATTTCTGCGCGTTTATCTCCGATGCTGCGCCAATTCTGAGAGGAAATCCTTTCGGTCGCGGTATTCGAAAATAGAGCGTTACTTTCCATTTAATTGAGAGGCGGGCGCCCGTGCAAGTTTTTCACATCACCAAACTCTACAACAACA